GAAACTTGTAGCACTTTTGAAACATAACCAACTTGTTTGAAAAAAAAAAAAAAAATGAACATTGCCAAACAAATCACTCGAAGCAAAATGCAACACTTTCATTCTGTTATACAAGTACGTTGAACCACTTAGTAATGAAACAGCAATTACTGAAACAGATTTTATGCATGTAAAAATTCAATACAGAAACAGTATGTCACATACATACATAGGAAAAATGGGAGTACAGACAAAAATTCAGTTCATGAAAACAGTCCAGTAAAGAACATGTTGGAAAGCCATTTACGCACATGTAAATGAAAGTAATATAATAAATTTCTCCTCAATATGCCCCAGTACTTGCTAAATGTAACTGTACAAATAGTAACATAAAGACAAAGCAAGACATGTCATCTAACAAATCTATGAGCAAAGATTGAATTTTATTTAATTTTTATTTCAAGTTTGACACCCCAGTAAAATTCATCATATAAAACCCTTGTGAAGAGGGATACATATACATACGACGTGACACAATATTAAAATTAAACAAGAATACACACATTTGTAACAGGGTGAATCATTAGCCTAGTGGCTGGTTTTTGAGAAAAAAATTGTAGCATAACATTTATATCTTCTATTATACCACCAAGTCATAGAAATACATTTTAAACGGAACACAAATACCATATCTTGAGAACAATTACATCAAATATTGAATGACATAGAAGGGCATCAAAGTTCAGCAAAAGTAAACAAATGACAATGAAAAGCACACAAGTAAACCGGAAGTCATGAAATGTCGTCTGCTGCCACCGCCAAACAGCCTGCCACTGCTTCACAATGCACAAACTGGTGCATGCTGGGAAACAGTGTCACCAAGGCAGTCACACTTAACTCACCTGACTTTGTGTCTAGTAAAGCAGCAGAGGAAAGGAAAAATATATATACTTCTAAGAAAAATAATATTTTTTCTAATGCACACAATGTTAAAACATGAAACCAAATAAAGAGTTTCAGAGATATAGACTGTTGTAGTTAAATGTATAACAGAGATTAATTATGGTCTGGTCTGCTTCACAAAGTAATTGTATTTTTAGTTGGTCAGAAATTACAAATTATTTATGATATCAATGTGTGGGCTTGCTTACATGTGCATGCATGTACACGTGTCTGCATGTCTCAACTTTTCGAAATATTGTTTTTTCCCTCTAGTGATGGATTGAATATAAAACTGTGGTGTATTAACCATTGCGAAGATGACCTCCAATCTATTTATTAGAATCTACATGGCAGACCTTCAGAGTATTAAAAACTATGACTAGAACAGATCAACCAGTATTTGAACCTAAATAATAGTCATAAACACCAGATATCAAATTCCAACAGAAATCGGCATATATATATCCAATTAATCAACACCGAAAAAAGGTAAATTGTAGATAATAATTGGTGAGTCAGTTAGATGAAAACAACATATGAATCAGAATGCAGTATATAAGAAAAATTAGAAGAGAATTTCAGGTGGTCTAGGTGTTCTTACTTTTTCATCATGTGTCCCCAGAAGGACATCTAACCAGCTATACAGGTAGCCATCCTCGTTAAGCCCAGAGGGGTCAAACACTTGACCACAGCACACTACGGCCGACATGGCATGGACAGCTGCCAACTCAAAGTCTGTACAGGCTTCATCTTTACCTTGTCTGTAAATATGATTTTTATATATAACATACAAAATAATATGCTTACTTTGCCTGAAAACATCATCAACTGTATACAGTTGTCCTTCTATATCTTATTTAGAGTTGCAGATACAAAGAGCAATGGTTCAGTTCAAAGCCCTAACTCAAGTTCAAGTCTCAAGTTCCTTTGAATTAACAAGAGCAATATCTCCCCATACTGCTTGTCAAAGGACCACATTAATATATAATATACAAATTTCTTTGAAAATTGCCATCAAAAATAAATTCATCAGGTGCTGATTGATCAAGACCAGCTGACAATTACCTATAGACATTAAATCAACCATTTTATTTAAAAAATAATCATTCAAAAGCTGAAATTTTATAGAAAATTCAGACCATCATCTATAATGTCTAAATCTTTCCCTGACATTAAGAGTCTACCTCCTATCTACTGCTCCAAACATGGTCCCAAATCTGCCGCTCCAGCCAGCGAACAAGAAGAACAGGCTGTAACGGAGGTCCCGCGATAACAGGCAGTATCTGTACTCCACTGAAAGAAGATCAAATTATTCAAGAAAAGATAAAACCTGACAAAGCTGAACTTTGTATAATCTTGTAATACAGTAACACATACATGATCTGGTTCAGACCTTCTCCTAGGTAGGTGGTCAGGTATAGTGTAAGATTTCAAAATATTTTGCTTGTGTACAAATACTGATTGTTGGCTGATACCTGTACCAAGCTGACAATTATTTCTGCTCAGTTCTATAATCTACAACAACTGATTCATCCTTGAAGTCAATAAAACACATTTTATTTCAATAACTGAAATATGCACGCATTCACCAATCAATAATACTCTGAACAGATATTCTGGGACAAATATTAAAGTAACCAAGTGCCCTTGTCTGAACCTATTACCTGGTGTGTGTATGATCAGCTGTGTAACAAACCCAGCAAAGTACACCCTGATTTCCTGCAGCATGGGCTGTTCTCTGTCCCCTTCATTGTCCAGGAAGATCCTAGCGCCATCTATGTACTCCACAAAGGTGGGACTCAGGGTGTGCCTCTCAGCATCCACCACCTTGGTATTGCTGGAAATAGACAAACTGGGGTTACTAGTGAACTGGAGAGGTGTGGCACAGCAAGATTGCTGTCTCTACACATTTTGGTGTATTCTACACATTATTTAGGAACAATTTCAGGCCCGTAGCCATCAATTTTAAAAAGCACAGGGTTGTGTCAAATCATGAAAATATGTTGCAAATGTCTACAACATCATAGGTTGCTTGATGGGCCACTGGCAGGTAGGAACTGGTATCCCAGTCTAGCAGTGTACTGGTCCTTGGTTAACGAGCTACCGCTAATGTTGAGCCCTGTAATGATTAACAAGTTTACTAACCTGTGAGCAAATGTCTTGTTCTCTGCCAGCAGTTTAAATATTCTGACCAGCAGAACTCGAAGAGCGTCTCTTTTCTTCCTCCTGGCAACTTTCTCCTGCTTCCTGTCAATGGCTTCCTTAATGTATGGTACCAGCTCCTCCACCAGGGCTCTGGAACAAATACAGCAATTATAACTCATTTTTCCTTTTTTTCTGAACATTTGCTTTCTTAATTATACAGAAAATATTTCTAAGAAAGTAGACTGTTTTCCAAAATAGATTCTTGAAAGAAATGGACAGAGAACATTGTTCAACTTTGAAATTCAGAAAAAACAGTTTGAGATGTATTATGCAGGAATGAAACTTTTTGGCCCCCAACAAGTAGGAAATCCACTGGTAGAAAAATCTCATTACTGTTGTAAGCACTAACACCACCCAAAAAGTTGGAGTCCGCGAATAGTCGAAAAAAAAAATCGCGTCCCTTATGATTACAAAACCAATGTCAGTTAAATCAGTTGTGATACAGCATTTAGTGCACACCTGAAGGAGTCTGGGTTGCATCTCCCCAGTCCATTGACGATGGTCTCTCTGGTGTCCAGTGCATCACTGCGAATGAGAGGAGTGAGCTGTTTAAACAGGTTACTGGCACACACTGTGATGACACCTGCTGGACGTGGCTCTGACCGCTCTGAGGATGAACTCTCAGGGGATGAGCTGAAACCATGGAATGACAGGATTACATTTAGTATGGCTATTGTAGGAGTTGTGTGTCCTTGAAAAAGAATATGCATCAGATTATCAGCATTTTCAAAAGAAAAAACTTTGAAACACATAACAGATTTTACACAAGAATTTTGGTAAGGGAGTTTTAATAATTAAAATTATCTATATAACTCAGATATATCTAATAATCTTGAGTAAGAAGAAAAAAAGGAAATACAATAATTTCCCACAATATTTCCACAACATATCTCTCTTTTCTTTATTAATTTTCTTATAAAATTCTGGTAACCTTTCATACAGATAACTTATCATTAGAAGAAAGTAAGGTTTACAACAACACCATAGGCCCAAACTGTTTTCACAAATACATTGAGAGAAAATGTTCAAATCCCATTCACAGCAATATCAGTAAAAAAATCCACTCTTTCACCACTTCTCCTCTCTCTTCTCACCTGAGTTCTGGAGACGAGCACCTGGGTGTGGCACCTGGTCCTGATGGGGCTATACAGCAGGCAAACACCACATAGTTCCTCCACAGGTTATTGTACAGGTCCTTCTCACTGGCCATCTTCTTACTGCCGGACCTCAAGATGGACGACGAGCGGGTGTCACTTACTATGGAGGGGTTGCTGGATTGTAAGATTATATATATAATTTTTTTACAATACATTGGATACAATATATATCTTGAAGAAATCTTGTTTAATAAGCTTGCATTTAAACTATCACTAAATTATTCCCTACAGTTTGAGGTAAAACAGACAAATTAACAATCCACAAATTTGCAAAATAAGGTACTTTTATGTGCAAAATTTTGTTCTTGTTAACTGCATGGATTTCTATCATTTTAAAAGTCCCATAATTGAGAGATCTGAACATTTCAAAGTCTCAAAGTCTCATTTACTTGGTAAATTGGGTAAACTATTCTTGTCTTTTGACATGCCCTAGGCTATGGCTTTAGCAAAATGCTTTAAAATCTTGAAAATATTAATATGACTTCTTTTTTTCTTTTTTTTTACAAACTTGGTAAAATCAGTTATTTGGCTTAAACTAAATACATTCTGAATTGACACCAGGCATGACTTCTCTTACACATTAGGATCCATATAGGACTGTAGCCTGTAGTACACAATGGGCCAGGCATGGGCTATAGCATGGGGGCAGCTGGTGTACAGGCAGTCCTGACCAAGGAAATTGGCCAGACACACCACCCAGGGGTCAAACTCGTTGGTGACCGCCCCTGACCGACTGGTGTCCAGGGTGATGTTGTGCTCGTGATAACCTGCGACCCACACGGCGGATGTTCTCTCGCACAGCCACTGTAGGTCAATATTGGAGGCTGACTGGATGGCGTTCTAGAGAGAGGGAGGAGATGTATTCTATTATAAGAAATTAAATCGACTGAGGATAGGGAGATGCATTCCAATCCATTTTATGTGGAATCAAATAGATTAATTGGCACATTAGAGAGATGGAGGAGGAATGTGTGTTTTTTATAACAAATCAAATTTTCTGGAAAGCAGTAAGTAGAATAAGAAACTGCATCTTAAAAGAAATCAAATTTCACACTTTTGTGGCAAAACATACGGGAAATCTCTAATTTATTTTTTCATGCATGGAAATTCAAATAATAAACATTAAAACTCATTTCTGTTTCCAATGACGACTTCTATTTATAGAGTCTGTATAAAAACAGGTATCATGCAAGACACTAAAAGAATCTGTGAAAAACATGAATATAAAGCAAATGAACAGTACAAGGCCTCAATATTCTAATTTTTCGATCTCGAGTTCCCTGTAAGATGTGGATATTCTACCATAAACTACAACTGTGACTAGACAACCTCACCTTTTCCTGTGATGGCAGATAGGGCAGCAGTTTCTCTATAATATTTGGCATGGCCTTGTCTATGACATCTATTACACAGGGGTCATCAACCTGGACGTAGAAAATAAAATTCATCCAGCTTCTTATAATGTAAAATAAAATATGTCACTATCATTTGAACTATGTGTATTGACAATAAATTGCAGTCATTATCGATCAATGAATCATTTTATATCTTTAATCATGAGTCTAGTTACTATTTCAAAACCGACATTAGAATATATGTAATTTTTTTGACAATTATTTTGTGAAATATTCTATTTTGGCATATTACAAATCTTCATGGCAGTGGGCATTTTGACTTCAAAAGAGAGTATACATATATTAAACATAAAACAGAACTGCAGCCCCAATATTGACAAAAACTTTACCTTTGATGTACCCAGGATGCTGAAAAGTGTGCGGACCTCCTTGAGTATACAGGCTGCCAGTTTACGTGTCAGAGGTTTACAGTTACACAGCATGACCAGGGCAAACCCCTCAATCTCATTCATCACGTTAGCATGGCTGCTGCGGTCAAAGGGAAGCTTGTGGGCAGACAGCTCCAAGTTTTCAGATTTATCCTGGAAAAAAATGGAGCAAATTAATATTTCGTGTTCTTCCACGAATCATTTAGAAAGGCAAAATTTAAATTCAAAAATTTTGGGGGTAGGAAATGTTTAAGAGGGCTAATACTGAGGGATGAGCCATGAGCCACATACATATTTCACCCTACATACATACAAATATACAATGTCCACCATAAGTATGTCACCATATATACACTTCACCAAAATATGCACATGAAATTACATAAACAGCAATTAGGAGCAATCCTACTTTACTATCAATGGATGATATGACAGCAAAACCAGCTGGAGTTGTTATCTTACTTTAGCACCAAAGGGGGAATGGGCAGCAAAGTCTGCTAGACTTATATTACTTCAGAACTTAAGATGGACTGGGCAGCAAAGCCTCCTCGAGTTATCTTACTTTAGCACCAAAGGGAGCCTGGGCGGCTGTCTTCCACTGTGTCAGGAACTGTAGTAGGACTCGGAGAAAGTTGTCCAAATGCTGCTGACCTGGGAATGAGTCACCAATCTCTTTCTGCACAAACTGAATGAAGCCTGGAAACAGATAGTATGAACATTAAACCACACTAAGTCTGTTAAATTCACTACTTTATAAGAAACATAAATCAAAACCTCATTAATATTACCATTATTACTGTAATTATTGTTTCACTATTACTCTAACTTCAAACACTTAGTTAAAATTTTGCATTATTAGATGGAAGTTAAATTCTTTTAATTCATACATTAAACTAATCTACAAACGCTTAGACTCCTAGCAGATTTTATCAACTCACCATGTAGAACATCTTCTCTCCAACTTGGAAAGTCCAGTACAAGGTTCTGAAGTGCTTGCAGTGACAACCTACAATAAGAGAACATCACTGAACACTAGTCATACACTTGAGGTGACTTAAACACCCAAAAAATTATTTTATCACATTTAGACCTTATAGCCTGCAAAAATCCAATTATTTGAAATACCTAACCAAATAAATTCTGTTTTAATTTCACACAATTCAGAACACCATCATAATTATTATAATTAGGACTGTCATAGTTTTCATACTGTAATATGGCATGAGTTTAAATTCTTTACTGTTGTTCTCGTCCCCTTTGATCACTAGTTTAGAATATTATCGTTTTATGCCTGTTTTAAATCAGACCTCACTGTAATATGGAAGCTGGTTTGTAATCAAAGTATACATTTTTTGACAAACTTACTCTCTCAGTTTCTCATCAACATGAATCATGAGTCGTGTAAGAAGATCCACAACTTCAGACTTCTGCATGCCCTCAGGGAACAGACGAGGAATGGCCGCTACACAGGTACGGAATAGATCAATCTTAGCTTTCCTTTCTCCTCTGAAAAAGGACAATTTGGTCAACATAAAGTAATATTTCTATTGTTATAGTATTCGATAAAAGGCATATACAATAACTGTAGAACATCTTACAAATTACTCATTTCACATAGACACTTAGTCTAATATTCATGAAATATGTCAAATTTATTTTTTGTCTCAACTTGACAGAAAAAAAAAACTCTCAAAACATTGCAAACCTACTGATTCCAAAGTACCAGTTATAATTTTTTTAAAAAAGTACTCAATGCACCTCAATCATATTTTCCAGTTACAATGCATTGGAAAAAAGACCAAGTGCCTTGCAACTGCATCACTTCCAAAGATTACCAGTTATAATTCTGCAGAGAGAGAGAAAAAACAGCCCAAAATACATTATGATGGCCTATCCTTTCCAACCGGTTTCCATTTCTAACTCACATCATCAGCTCCTCCAGGTCTTTATTCACATTCTCAGGTTTGGTCATGGCTAGATTCCTGCCCACTTCACGGTCCAGCACCCTGAGTATCCCATCAAATGCCTTCCTTATCTGTGGATAATAACTGGACATCCCTATGGTCTTGGCCACTCCATCAGTCAACATCTTATTCAAGAAAGTCTTCTTGACTCTCAGGGTGTTTCCAGATGGCATCACCCCTACGGTCTGAGGCATGGGAGGCTCCCCGTCTTTTTGCTGTAAACTGTCTGCCACTACCAGGAAGGCACGGAGGCCCACGCTCATACGTTGCGGGTTTACGACCCGGATTGGCTTACCAACACACAGCAAATCGAAGACTATTTCCCTCATGGCAAAGTCTAGCCTTTCCTGGAATTGATAAATAATTAAAAAATAAATGCATGGCACATTTTAAAAATTGATGAAAAAAGTGAAAACCAAGGTTCAGAATTCAAGCAAACATCAAAGGGTTAAATGAATAGAGAAATGCTACATGTCTAGTAATGTGTTGTTATAAATTAAATATCAGAAATTTTAAACTTTTCTGAGACATGATCAGGATATTAATTCATGTAGCTATGTGGTTATTTCTTGCTAGTTAACCTTTAAATATTAACGAAAAAATAAAAGACAATATGTATGAAATCTAGGATTGTACATGCACTTATAGAGCTGGCCATTTTAGGATATCAGCTACTTTAATACAAATCAAATGAAGAGCACGTCGTACCTGTGCAACAAACTGTATAATTTTGACAAAGATGTTGAGTGGTGTGTCCTTTGGAATGAGGGACCTGCCCCCCTTTGGGAACAAACTGCTGGAGATGCTCTGGAGTTTACTCAACGTGGTCGTGTTACTCTCACATTTGATTCTGATCATATACACCCTGGATGATATAATACAGTGTATGATGACAATTATCAATACACCTTCTATTTTGTGGCTGGGTTAGAGAATAGAAGATGCAAAAGGATAAAAACTGCTACGGTGAAGGCTTATGGAAAGTATCTGAATTTTTGGCATAATTAATTTCTTTTTAATCCTGATTGTGCATCCACACATTCTGCAATTTAAAGAGCAGTAACAATAACGTTTATCAACAGAAATGTATTTGAAACATTTGAATTAATTTAAGTGTCATAATTTTAAATCAAGAGAGAGAGAGAGAGAGACAGAGAGACAGAGAGAGAGAGTCACCATAAGAGCCTGTAGAGTGACTCCAGTGCCACTCTGGACATCTTAGGGTCTCTGTTCCTCAGCTGTGTCAAACACATGGTCAGGAAGGGAGACCAGTTGGCCAGGAAAAATGACTTCTGACTCACACAAAGTAAACACGTTAACATGGGGTACAGGGCCTGGAATATACAATGAAAGTATATTATTATGTGAAGTTTTATATGCTACTAGGAACTCGACTTCTCTTTACATACCTGAAATTTTTAGAAAATGGTGAACATCAGGAATACAAAAAGATACAGGGTAAGACTATATTCCCTTCTTACTTTTAATGTCCCAGTTTTATTTTAATTTGACAAAAAAGGGAAATTAAAACTGTGCAACAAACTAAAATCTTACCAGCTGGTGTTTCTTCCTGGTGCTCATTTCTGTAGTAGTGGTGAAGAGACTTTCTACAAAATTCTTCAGCACAGGGACGTTGACTTCATGCTTGACCACCTGGAATGGAACAGGGAATAGTGACAGTTTTGTCAACTCAACACATTTATATACAAATTCCACAGATCATTTGAGATCCATGTCCATTGCTTTCAGGTGTTTTTGTATTCGATTTGTTAACAACTACACTAAGTCAAACAACAGGTTCAAACAATTTGAGTGTTGTAGTTTTGACAGTTTTCAAAACTCTGTGACAATATTGCATTATAACATGAGCCATTATATGGTTATTATAGAAAAGACAATGATGTTGTGAAAATATATTTCTCATATAATATCAGTATCCTTTCACTCACAGAAGCAACAGGCAGCAAAATCTCCACAAACAATCCTGCCAGCGCATGTTTGATGTCCTTCTCCCGAACTTCAAGGAAATAATTGCCCAACTCCTGAAGGAAGTGAACACAAGCCTCAAACTCCTCTATTGGATGCATCTGGAAAATAGCAGAACAAAATATTCTATAGTAATAAATTTACGTTGTTTTTATCAAAGGATTAGTTTCTCCATTCATAAACAAAGGAAAAAAAATACAAGTCTATTTTATTTTGCCATGCACAGATTCCAAATCATTTCCTCAGCACTATTTGACAAAATCTATCATACTGAAAACTTTGAAATACAGCAAATCAAGCTCTCAAGATATTATTCTCATTTGTGGTTTTCAAGCAATCATAAAGATAAAGCAATATATATATATATATATATATATATATATATATATATATATATATATATATATATATTAAATAGGTTCCAAAACAACAGACCTTGACCCTGAAGAACTTGAGTCCCATAAGAAGGCTGATGATGGCACTCTGTGTAACTGCAAGACTTTGGTCTTTACTACGCAGTTCCTTCAGCTCCAACATGAACTTCTTACGTACTGCCTGGAACCTTAAGATAAAAAATAACATAATATTATAATCATTTATTTAACACATGGAGTTATTTTTTTTCAATCAGTACAACTCTCTGCGGCAATTACAGTACAGGAAAAAAATTCTTCTTCAAATCCATTCTCAGTAATTTAATATCACAAATTATACATTACATATTCATTGTTGCAATATTGCAGTTACATTTCCCAAAGAGACCGTTCCTTTCACCATCCATTAATGAGCAATCACTATATTAGAAAATATATGCTTGTAATACATATTAATACCAGTGTTGTTATTTAATACCTGGATTGTGCTAGGACCCCTATCACCTCTGCATACAAGTCTGATATTGTGGACACATTGGTCCCATTGGGGCTACTGGCTGGGCTGCAGTGTGGAAAGAACACATCATCTCCATATAAAATTATCTACTCATTTCATGACACATCATGAATTCATATACAATTGTATTATACATATGTGAAGTTAATAATATAAATTTAGTTTTAATATCTAGTTTAAGATTAAAATATTAGGTTTTTCAGTAAGAATGTACATGTAATAGTATTTTGCAATATAAAAGAAACAGGTTTTAAAGATTATTATCTGACAGAGTTCAATATCTGTGGCTGCAAACTCTTTGTATTTTTGCCTTCCAAGATAATCAACCAAAATGTTTTGTTTACTGTAAACACAATTTTTATATCCTCTTTTTTCCTACTCACATGTCTTTGTATTTAAAATGCCTAAATGCCTGCAGGAGAAGGTGGGTGATCAGGTCGTCTTGACCTGGATGGAACGGCAACTAAAAACACAAAGTTTCTGTTATATAGATGAAATTCTCACAAATGTCAAAAAAGCATCTTACATTTATTTGATTCAGATAAATTTAAAAATCGACTCTTTACAGGTACTTCATTAATGTGACAAATTTAACACCATGTTGTATTTCACTCTCAAACAGCACCTTTCTCTTAGTTTTCTTTTTTCATGTCACTTACCTGCTTCAACACCTCGATGAGAACTAAGCAGTAAAGGAAATCAACAGCAAGCTGAAAGTATTAAATGAGCAATTACATTATATCTTATAAAAATAATTAGCACTAAACACAAGTAAAGAATGAAAAGGCTCGAAATATAAGAAATCAGACGTGTAATGCAATTGATATTATATAAATCTTGCCCGAGATCAAAAATATTTTATAATATAATCTTTATAAAATCCTTTTATGCAGTTCTCACCTCTCTTCTTTCCAATAAGTATTCTCTTTCTGTCCTGTCCCTAAATAGAGATAAAAACATTGGCTTTTTCAAACAAATAAAGAACAGATTAATATTTCCTGACAATAGTTTGGTTTCAAAGCACAATAGTGAAGAATCAGTGTTTTTATAATAAGTTTTTATTCAAATAACAATGCTTTGGAATGAGAAAAATACCCACAAAATATTAATACATCTAGCTGTAAAATTAACAGCAATACATGTAATATAGGTTTTAGTTATAAAAACAAGTAATTTATGTCATTAAAAATGGAAATTTACATATTAAAAACACCCAAATTCGTATACAATACAAATAAAAACCCTCAGATATCATTATAATCATGGAGAAACTCACGCTGCCGTTTTACTTTTCATCTTTTGTTTGAGCTCATGTTGCAGAGAGCCATCTGGTGGACACTGCCTGTCAAACCACTTGTACAATGTCCTCAGCAGAGAGGGAAGACAGTGCTCGGCCACATTGCCTAATGTGCTTAACAGCTACAAAATAGATGGAAGCTGATTAAATTTGATTCTTTGATAGTGCCACACTATTGCACAACAAAGCAGTTTGCCTCTATATTAGCTGATTCTGAATGCTGTTACATAAGGATGCTACTTGCCAGCATAAATAGGACAAGAAAACATATCTACATTTATATCTCCTCATGAGCTTTTGTTCAACTATTTCCCATGATTCAATTAAGTGTAATAACAATATCAAATTTTCTAATCATTGTTTTCAGTTTCAATATCAAACATCAGTTTTACTCTGAGGCGATCCATCAATATAACTAGAAAATGATCACTTTTCTGAATTAGGCACCCATCAGTGTAAAAACATTATTTTATTTATTTTTTAATTTCAAATATGAATTCATTTCCAACCAGCACACCAGTCTTCACTTGAAGATAGTTCGGCAAAAACTGTGTTCAAATAGTGTAGAGCAAAAGCTGCACTGTCCTAACTGCACATGTGCCTTATCAACTGTGAACACTCCATCATCAACATAGCTATTACATTGTGGTTAGACCTCACACTGACATTTCCATTATGATGTGACCTGGCAGCTATTTGAATTCAATAATTCAATATTCTGCACTTATTATTACCTCCTTGACTTTGATTTAAATAATTTATCATTTAAGAGTAATTTTGGTGCATTTAACATTCTTTTACTTTATTTTTAAAAATAATGGACCAAGAAACATATGTTGCGTAAATTTCTTAAATTTTAACTATCCTATCCTAATATTAATTATCCTAATTTTACACATAAAAGTCATTTCTGTAAAGGAACTTAAATATTTTTAATGTGGTATTGGCATCAGTTGTTCATCTTCAAAAAATAATTGTAGAGTTAAAAACATAATTGCTATAATATTAATCAATTATCCCCAGCCTGCCGCCATGTTGTACTGGTCACTACCTCACCACTTTTATCATTACCACTTTAATTATAATACAATTAACCATGTAACAGATTGCCCTGGGTTTTATTACCTGACCAAGATAACTGAATAATGTGTAATAGATAATTTTTCTCTGCCATACATCATAGATTATATTGATTTTATCTGAATTAACTTGAATTTATTTTTGGTCTTGCTGTATAGATTTGAAGAAATATAACGTGACTGTCTTCATCAGGCAAACACTCCACATGAAATAAGTGCATCAACAAACACATACCTTTTTTGAAAATAAATCTTAACATACGATAAAAATATTTCTCTAAGTCACCACTTTTCCATCCTAAATGAATATAAGTTCATACCTGATCAAACTCTGTGTCCTCTTTCCGCTGTAAAGACTTGGACAGGGGTCTTTCCTGTAAAAAAAATTATCACACTGACTAGATTAATAAGGACCTTTATTTATCATCAATATTGTGTGAATTCATTATTTTAGGGTTGTAGTGTTTGTATGTCATGCAATTTTTTTTATTTTTATCTTGTAAATATAAAACTAGTTATAAATCAAAATGTCATTTCTTTTATAAGTTACTTGCATTAAAATTCATACACAAAACAAAGGCTTAAGGCAAACAGCTTTTCAAATTTTCAGCAACAACAAAATTAAAGAAATTTTCATCATGACCTGTCAACCTGAAGTGAATTATGATACTTTTAATGAACACCTTCTGGTTCAAAAATAACCTAAACCACACATAACATGACATCCACACTCTATCATTATGCTAATACTTATAAAACCAATCCCTTAAAGTAAAAATAACTGTTTTTTATTACACAAGATGTGCCATGGTGTTTATGTTACTGTAAATGACATTTCTCTAGATTGTGTCAGCTACAAAAAATGTTGCTATTGCTAAAATTCACTTTTAATTTTGATAAGATGGCCATTTCATTTAACCAAAATAAAAACATGTTATACAACTTGGCTAGTTAAAAAAAACCTTTAAAAAATTTGTATTCAATGCTTCTGCTATTTCGCTTAAATTTAGAAACCATCTCAGACAGAGGAAAATTGTATAAAAATTTTAGTTTTTTTTTAAATTTTCATAGTACTGTTGTATTTTGCAGCCAGTTTTACAACAAAGTTTCAAAATGAACTGGAGTTTACCCACCAGTGGCTCTGTGAGGACCAATTCAATTTTCTGTTCCGCTAAAACAAAGAATTCAGCAAACAACGTCCTCATCACAAATTCTCCTGGACGGATATCAGTGTCTATGTTAAAGGCTGGTGGGAATGCCATCCTGTCTTTACTGCCTCCCCAGGGCAGAGTTATCTGTGATGGCTGCTTGGTGTGTTCTTCAGTAGAGTCATCTGCTGGCTGGACTGAAAGCAGAATTGATATTGATATGTACACTATAACATGTAATACAGAAATAATGGGTTCAGTTTTCTGATACAGAAGGAGACGGTTAATATTCAAACCAACTTACGTCATGCTATCAACTGTTTAATGTCAGCAGACGTTGGTAGCAGAAAAAAAAAAACATAATGGCTTGTCAGTCAAGTTGATATGCCAGTTTCTTTAACACTACAGATCAAATAAGGTCAAAGAACACATAATCAACAGAGCAATTACCCTTTTCTAACTCATGCTTGTCAACTCACCAAATAAAGCCTATTCAACTATCCACATTTTTGTGTCTGGTTCAGCCCTTTCAGCAAAGTCATTTCCAAACATTGTTCGTGCTCAAAATTTTAAGTTCCAGTTTTTAAAGAGCCTCTTTTGTACAAATGAGAACAGCTCTGCCTATCAATTCTTATCCCAGAGCAGTTAAAAGACCAACAACGCTATAGCTTTTCAGCAAACAATGCACTCTGATTCTCGGTAACAGTACTAACGGTAACAATGACAACAATAAAGAAAACAACAACAACAATAATAGCAGTATTCCCGCCTCATGTGTCGTGCACTGACAATGTATGTCATCCCCAGCTGGCGTATCTCATACTTATACCATGCTCAAATATGACCGAAGTTCCAAGTACACAACAGCTTGTGGATCTCTACATACTATACTTCAAGTTGCCAATCACAAATCAGGACAAAACACGGGAGGAATTGAAGACAAAATATTCCAACATGATACTGCCTAGGGCCAACAAAAATAACAAATTGTAAATTGTGAGGAGGACAATATTTTTTTGGGACACAGGATTGGCAAGAGACAAAACACGATCAATCCTTGGATGACGTCAAAAAGAAGGAGAGCAGGGGAATTGGTATTAAATCAATCTAATATGATTATTATTCTAATTTCTAAAGAAAGAAAATTGCATTAATGCCAAACCACAATATGATTTTGCTTACTAGGATGTAGAATGTAACTGATGAGTCAGAGTAATAGAAAATATAATTTAGTGCTCATCATTTTGATCTGACTTAATTTCCCATTATTGTTCTCTTTTTATTATAATCACCCAAAATCTGGTGCAATGCCAAAAATAAACATAAAAAATACCAGACTCTATAGTTGGTTATATCAAAACATCACCTACTGCCGTCTGCTTTCTAGAAGATATTTATTTATTCCACTAATGTCATCTTGTGGTTATGCAAAATTACTCAGTCATATGCATTTTTCTTCATCAGAAAACAGACTCCGAGTACCTGGTGCCCCTACTAGGATAAACAGAGATTAAAGAGTGGATTAATGATATCAATGTGAAGAATGTGACATTACCCCAATAGATCACTCATAATCCCATTATGTGAATAACAGGAATTTCAGAGAACAAAAGTAAGGCCTTGACTTTCATATGGCAGTTGTTGTTCAGTGCAATGAATGACTTGTGTGCACTATTTAACCTTAACTATTTCTAATTCTTATGAAAAAAAAACATCATCCTGGAAAAGAAAACCAGACAAAAAATCTCCGTTACAGGTGAATTAAGATCACAATCATAGGATGAATAGTGACTAATTACATCAAGCCACAGAAACTAGGCCTGATTCAACAAAATCAATTTTAATTTGAAATATTTTAGTTATCACACAGGTTATAAGCAGATAGTTCACAGTCCTTCCAAGCCCCTGAACGTGCCCCAATCAGATAGGTTATGACCTGTAAATGACCACATCTGGGGCCGGTTTCACAAAGCAGTAGTTAGTTAGAACAACTAACTACTGAACTACCTCGCTAACGAGCAAACTTAGCGATTTTCGAGGGGTGTTTCACGAAGCAGTCGTTAACTCATCGCTAAGTTCAGTCGTAAAGTTCGGTCGTTAGTTCTCTCGTTACTCACCGTAGTCTCGAAACCGTCTACCGNCTAGCGAGAGGCTTACCTCCGATCGCTAACTAACTACTGCTTTGTGAAACCGGCCCCTGGGTCAATACTGACCACAGCTGGTGATTTTGTTCCAACCTTATCCTTCAAAAGATGTAATTGTGTTTATAATTATATAGTGGGCCCATGTGTCTAAGCTCAGAAATTATTCCAAGATTAGGAAAATAAGCAAATATTTATCAAGTATTGGCGGTGAAGGTATGAGTCAACCATTATAAATATTGTAATCTTCATTAGAGTTTATATCAGATAATGAAAACTCACATAAAGTTCACTTCATAATATATTCCTCTACATAAGCTTCTTCTTCTTTTTTTTTTTTTTGCTTTCAAAAACATTTTTTCTAACTTCTTTTCCTACCAATTAAGTTCAAGGTAGTTAAGGTGATGTGTAATGGAACATGAAGTGACGAAAATCCTATGCAATGAAGATACAGGTTATCAACTTTCCCTTTAAAAGGGAAGATAAAAGTGTTGTCACTCTTTACCAGTCCCTGGTAAAAATGAGTCGGTCTTTAAACATTGCCTAATATATTCTAACACAAAAATGCAATACTTAATATAAGCACTTTTATTCCCTACCAAAAAGGAATACCCTTTCAATGATAATTTCTCAATATGTGAAATATACATTGATTTATATCACATGCGCCCATGTAAACATATATAAACTTTAAATATTATATTATATGTATATGTATTGCAAGACAATCCTCAAATGGAACATGTATATCAGCTGATATGAGGTCTGGAACATTAATGCTAAATCCTATCTCCAGACACACTAATAACCATCATGGTATTACATCTAATCACATAATAATGACAATATTGTTCACACCACCATAATTACAAAAAGCCTATGTCGTTGCAAACATCAACCCAAAATAAATCCTTATATTTAAACTAGTAACTACACCTACAAAGTCTTACCATAACTTGTGTCCCATATGCGTGCAAATGAAAGTAAACCTCATAACCATATTGATCTGTAAACGAAACGACTGGCCTCATTTCCTGGTCCCCTATCAATCACATACCAGGATGATATTCTATTTTAAGCCGCGGCAATAGGCAGCACGGATCATGTGACAGGTCCCACCCAGACTCCTGTGGTTCTAATTAACTGCTGGTATCAATATATTAATCTTTTATCAGTCTGGTCACCATATGTAAAGCACGCACATGACCAGGGAAGTTCAATACTTCTTTCGTGTCAATTTTTTTATTAATTTTTTGCGAGACTTAGGTTTTTATCTTATACCACTGATTGATCAGTAAAATATTGTGAGTTCCTTAAGATGTTCTCTCTGCCATCTTATATGGTGCTTTTATATTTTAACATTATTTATTAATCACTGTTATAGTACTATACCCAGATATATTTAAATAATTTTTTTATTAAAAAAATTATGAATACATAGGCAACCCGTGCCTACATTGTTAAAACAAAATAACGCCCTTCTGGCACAAGAATAATATTTAACAAATGGTTAAAAAGTGTTTTTAACTATATACATATATATATTTATCTCAAACACAACCTTTAAATTATGGCCACAGATTTAATAAAATTTTATACAGCTTAAAATGCCACAAGCTACTATGCTAGCTATACTTCTAATGCTACTGTTTGTTTACATAGCAAAATATAGAAATAAAGATAACAGAATAAATAAAAACTAGCTTTAGACTATGAATACTCACTCTGGCCATTCTGTGGCAGGCCCAGTGGTTCCTCTCTACTCTCAGCCATTTCAACTGTGTCTGGGGTCTTTGGATGTAGATATTTGGTTAGGGTAACATCTGTGAAGAAGAGGATATGAGAAACTGCATTATTTTTTTAAAAATAAATTTAATTTCTTGTGCCAAGTTTAATTAAAATTAAAAATTAAATTTTAAAAAAATAGCTTGCTGAATATCCTTGGAATTGAGATAATTTTTCCGTAATCACACCATCTTATAGACAGTACATCGCACTTTGTGATGAAAAAATACTTCCTATTGTCATTATGTGTTATCAAAAGTTTAATTCTTAGAATTCAAATGGGTTGTTTAAGGTCAGTTTTAATGGGTACATTTAAACAAAGTTTTTCAATCCTCTACAGTTTGAAGTTAATAGCTGGAAGGGAATGTCAAAAGGTTATCTGTTTCCAGTTTCATAAATCAACTTCCTGTAGACTGCCATACGGAATCATCATTGCAGAAATATTGGGTTAACCATTTACAAAGAGTAAAAAATTATACTTGAATAAAAAAGTATCCTCTGAATTCCGAACGTGTTCTGCATATTTGTCACATCAACTTACGCATGTTTTACATGATCAATACCACAAAATCCTGTCAGCAATAACATCATTATGTAAAGCAATAAGCAAAATTAGCCTTTTCATCCTGAAGCAAGTGACTCAAAAGATCAATACAACAATTAATTGAACAATGCATTATGTAGTATAAATCCCAAAATTAAGCCTTAGAGCAGCCTTTCCTATCACTTTACTGATTGTAATGTGGAATTTAAGATCACAGAATATTGATTAATAACCTAGGTATTTGCTATATAACATCTTAGATCATAGTCTTGTGAGCCTCAAGAGTCCATTCCGAGTTATATGAGATCATATCCCTGTATAAACATGCCAAGTATTTGACAAATTTCACGAAAAGAGATTGTTAAGTGACTTTGATCAACTTTTCATATTGCCTTGAAGGCAAATTACTTATGGACATTACTCTTCCAAAATTGAACAAAGCCAATAAATTATGTTTTACAAAACACCTAGTACATATATAGAAAAATAATTGCTAAAAATGCCTAGAGGTCTGAAAAGCCAAATCGGACAAGACACATGAACAGACTTTACATAAATTTACATGATTGCCACTGGTGCAATACTTAATTGAGACCTATTTTAAAATCTCTTTTTCCACTTTTGGTCAGTGTATTGCTACATGTAGTTTTGCTTTTTGGTTGCTGGTAGGCTCAACAAAATATACCACAAGCTTTCAAATCTTTAATCTAGGCTTCATGTAGAAATGACTTGGATATTTAAGAGTTAAACATGAGGATACATATGATGATAATATGTCAGTAGCAAGTGACATAAAGGTGCACTTGGTTTGGGGGTCATTTGACACATGCACTTGTGTGTACATTGGCAAGTTGTAAGGAGTGAAATGTTCCTTATACGTGTGGAACTATGAACAAAAACATGAATGCAAGATAAATTATGTATGAGGTTTTCCCTCCACGGCCTAGGTGGCGTAAATCATCAGCAGTATTTAGATGACAACGTTAAAAATGCAGAAATACTAACACATTCTTGATATCACTTATACCTTGATGATTTGTGGTGTATCTATAGACTATGCACTTAACGACATATATGGCAATCAATTTGATAAATTTAAAAAAAACATTTTGTTAAAAAAACTAAAAATATTAATAACTTGTTTTGATAACTTAAGTAGCATAATAGTAGACTAGTCATTTTGCAGCTTATTTATATGTCTTTTCATTTCATGATGAAATCTATTATTTACTAATTTATTTATTTATTTGACACTAGACTTCAGGTACTGAAGGGGTACTGTGAATGTGACTTTGGCAGTGTCACCGAGTGTCATTTGCTGTCGGTGTTTAACCTGGTAGGAACGACCGTAGTAACGACACACATGCAAAAAATGCTGTATAATTGCAGACAAAGTCCATTTTATGATTATGGTCCATGCACAATAATTTTGTCCTAGGCAAACTCCAAAACATTTTTTTCTTGAACTTACCTTGCTGATTGTTTTCTTGGGCCTCTAATGTTGCCTCGTTCTCACTGCCGCTCACCGGAAGTGTTCCGAGAATCACTTACCATTGGTCAATTCCGTGGGCCGACAAATGGGGAGCAATCATGGGAAATAATATTTCTTTTTTTCCTTTATTGATCCGACGACACGTTTATTTGTATCATATTTACACCAAACACATTTGCTATTACTTAAATTTTATTTGCAGCATCACAAGCCATCGTTGTATTTAGCATCTGTTAGTAAGCAAATCCAAGCTAATAAATTCTCCCTGTCCTCATTTCCATAAGTAGGTCACAACCAGAAACCGTGCACTCACATTTGTGACAGAAATAGGGGGAGGGTCTCCCTAAATAAATACAACAGTAGCCTAGATAGCAGAGTAAGTATGAAATACCGTTATGTTCACTAAAATCAGTCATTTTGCAATTTAGAGGAAAAAAATGCGCAAGTTGAAATGATTAAATTAGCTGTGGGCTATGTAACAAAGGGTAACCGGCTCACTTCCTTGTTTGCTGACACACTTTGACTTAAAAATTTTTTTAATGTTTTTCTTCCTTTTTTCTCCAAAGCATCCTGCATTTCACGATGTGGAAGTTCAAAGTTTCAAAGTTCAAAAATACCACCCCTCATCTGCCAAAAAAGGAGGTATGAATGTTTTGTCAGTTATTTTATCATTCTTTTGACTCTCAATCAAGTTAATGAAAATTTCCTTTTTATACAGTATTGGTCTTTATAAAGTCTAGATTTGAATTCGAAGCCATTGTTATTAAAATGTTATAATCGAGGTTGAAACTATATTATTTCACATATTACACATTTGAATAGTTGGACAGTCATAATTTCATCCTAAATGTATTATAAATAGTAAAGATAACTACAATTTGTATACTAGTAAATATTTATCTACATGTATGTACATGTATGTGAACATTTCCTCTTCTGTTTTTAGTTTTGGATAAGTGATTTGACCATTGCAAATTTGATGCAGTCATGTGGAAATCACATCAAGGCCAGCTGCACTCTGATGGCATTCAATGGACCATCAGCAGGTTAGTTACGATTAATGTGATTCGAATAAATTCACCATTTACATCTTTTCTTTCACCAGAATATCCATATTACTGTGTTAGTTTCTGTATTATCTTTGTGTTATATTGTGTTCCCATGGTGTGATTGATTTAGCTTTGAGTTGTGCAATGGTATGGTAGACAATGCCATCACCCCTTTGCTGTTACAATTTACATTATATCTTATTTTCAACTTAAAGTGATAAGATATGTAACTATTAATAGATAACATTGAATTCTAAAGTGACACATTTTAAATTGTCTGCTGTAGGTGGTGGAAGTGTGTCTGTGCTCCCCTTGGATTCAGCAGGAAGACAGGCCAAGACAATGCCTTTAGTGCAGGCACATGCCGGTATGAAAAATTTAAAATAACTGTTTTCAGTCATTTATCTTTTCCCCTTTTATCACACTCTATATACTGTGATAACGCCCAACAGTATTCCTTTGTCAGTATTTATCTAGTATGAAAAAACTATATAATTATGTATATGTCATTCAGGAGTATCCACTTTTTGCATTATGATTTGTGGTTGGTTTTACAATCCGTACTATGTATGTACTATATAAGAATGCAGATGAGAAAAAAAAAAGGGTGGGGGGGAAATAGCTGAAGTTTTGTTTATCAGTGTATTGAAAAAAATGTACTTTGATTTTTCTCTTTTTTGTGTTTTCAGATTTTGTATCTGATATGGATTTTAGTCCTTTTAATGATAATCTTCTTGCAACTGGATCTTTTGATTGCACGGTAAATATTTCTTTTTCCATGGAAATTTCTTTGTAACAAATATGAAAGATATCCTTTAACATATGTCCAGTCGTGGTTTTCTAACCTAGATATTATTGAAGATCTTTGACTTTAAATGCTTCTATGTGCTTCTATGTGAAGCTTTATAATGCACTCTCTTAGTCTTAACCTTTTGCATCATCAAAACTAGTATTTATATGATCAAAACAACATTTAGATGTTGCTTCTCTGTATAAAAAACTTCTGAATTGGTATGTTGTAATTATAGTTTAATTTTCATAATATAATTTTACCAGTTGAAACAATTAAGTCTTTTAGATATTTAATAAGTAATCACAGACTTTTTACTCAGATTAAAGCTATTTTTAACATTCATATTATTACTATAACAATCATGTTACCAGGTGAAGTTATGGGACATTCCCGATGGGGGTCTGACAGAGAGCATACATGACCCTGTGCTGTGCCTGCCTGCAGAAGGCAGGAGAATAGAGAATGTACTGTGGCATCCATCTGCTGACAACATCCTCACTGTCTCCTCAGGGACTCATGTTAAGATATGGGATGTTTCACAGCCAAGAGAGCTCTATGGTTTGTTTGTCTCTTTAGCATGTTGGTTAAAGATATAATACAAATGATTGTATAATTGTATTGTCTCTTGTAATACATTATTAATATAAAAATATTATTATGAAGATATTATTATAATTATTATTATTGTTGTTGTTGTTATTATTATTATTAATATTATTATTATTATTATTATTATTATTATTATTAAGTAATAGTGCAGTAGGTGTATGTGTCTTTAGACTGATTAAGTTTTGATTTCCACCTGTCCAGCACTGGATGACCATGAAGACCAGGTCCTAAGTATGTCTTGGAAGGGAGATGGCAGTCTGCTGGTCACTTCGGCCAAAGATAGAAAGATCAGAATATTTGACCCTAGAGCAGGATCTAAGACAGAGGTATTACGCTAATTAATTATAATTGCCTCTTGCTCAGATAGAGAGGAATGCCTCATTATCAACTCCAAACACTGAATATTAACTGTATTGCAAATAAGGAAGAAACAAAAGGTTTACTTTATATGATAATGGTGTATCAAAATGTGTGGCACTTTTTTCAGTGTTTAGAGAAAATATGAATTTGCAACATTTTTCTAAGGTTTTCTGACTTATATGAACCTTGCAGGAAGTGGAAGGCCATGCAAATGCCAGGGATTCCAGAGTGGTGTGGCTTGGAGACTCCATGAACATCGCGTCGACAGGATTTAGTTCTGTAGGAAGAAGTTTTATTGATATTTTATTTTTCCATATAATTGACACAAATAATTATATAGAATTTCTGTTTAATTCTTTTATATTATTGTCTCATTATGGTTTGATTTATTTATTATAATAATGATAACCTGTATTGGTTCTAGCTATTTTAGAAATAGGCTATGAGTTCACAGTAATACATTGCAATACTGATTATGATTATGAAAATCTTTAAGTTCGTAATGCTTTTATATGCACTAAGTAAACAAATTTTGGTTAAATATTTGTAGATTTTTTGTGATCACATTCATAGTCAAAAATGAAATGATTTCAAGAAAAATAATTTTCACATAATTTCATAAACAATATTTTGATTTTTACAATAATATCATTGTCAAATTTATAATATTATTATTCTAATCTGCCCTTACAGAACAGAGATAGGCAAGTTATTTTGAGAGACATCCGAAAGATGAGTGAACACCTGCACGTATCTGACATTGACAACGCAACTGGGTGAGAGCCATCTTTTCTCTACTTTCATTATACTAGTTTTTTTCCCCAAGTTGTATTAGACTCATTTTAATACATTATAAGATTTAATCTTACATAACTTTCACAGCGGCATGAGCTTCTGACAATATACACATACAAGCACTGTATTTCACACATCTCCATACACACAGTAAGGATCTTCCTTATAGATTGTGACAGTGTACATATAATATGAAAGCAGTATATCTCATAGCAATCCATGCATTTAGGATCTTCTTTCTTTATAATGTATGCATGCAGAAAAAAGTGTCCTTAATGAAAGTGTCTATAAGAGAAGTAGAGACAGTCATGTCACTTAAACTTTATACTTATTAATATAAACCAGTGTGCAAAAAGAACATTGACCGTGCAAGTCATCTGTAGCAAATGCTGGGGCATTATTGTTATAATAAGTACTTTGATGAAAAAATCACTCTCTGTAAATGGTAGTATTGACTTATTCATACTATTGGCATTATAATTGGCCTGTCCATGCCCAGCTTGTTAATAATGAAAAATTGCGCTAGTTTATGACTGTGTAGTGGACATCCTGGCCTTATTATATGTCTTAATTAATAGAACAGTTTTGATTTCATCTAGCATTTATCAGTGTTTTTAAATGAATTGGTGTATTTCCAGGACTCTAATGCCACTGTTTGACCCAGATACTAATATGCTTTTCCTTGCTGGCAAGGTAAAGTTATTTCTTGATAGTCATTTGATTCTTAAAAATTTTGTAAAGGATAAGAATATTATCCCTTAAGTTGTCAAGAAATATTAATTTTTCTTGTTTCATCTATCAAAGATTAATCATATATTTGAATGATAATATCACAATTGAAAAACAACTCTATGCTGAAAAATTTTAGAATCTTGTTCATAAATTAAGACAGACTTTTACTTTATTCTTTTCAAGGGGGACAGAAACTTGAAATTTGTCGAAGTTCAGGACAAAGCTCCATATTTGACAGAGGGTAAGAAAAATGTTGCATCCTTTTTTAAAAGATAGACCCAAACTTTTTAAGATTCAAAACACCAAAGTTTGTTATTAATATGATAAATTGTGTGGTTTTCTATTTATTTGGTGATACATTATTCAGGAACAGCAGATACTGTGGAGCAAATAAAAGGGGCAGCAATGATCCCTAAAAGAGCTGTTGATGTGATGATTGGAGAAGTGAGCAGAATCCTCATACTGTCACAGTCTGCTGTTGTCCCGGTGCCTTACATAGTGCCCAGAAAGGTGATTTTTAAAAATCTTTTTAAAATTTTTAATTATCTCTATCTATTTCAGTTGAAATAGAGATAATTTAGCATAACAAAAACCCTACTGCCATGGTGATTAATAACAATTGCAAAAAATACATATTACAATATAATATAACAGAGCTTAAATATGATATTACAGTACTTAGCATTACTACTTAATTAGTACTTATTTTTAGACATTTTCACTCAAATTTTGAATAGGACAATTATATTTCATTATTCATTTATTTGCATTTATCTGTAAAATACCAAACAGGTACCAAGTACCAAACAAGTACAGCCTGTTGTAAATTGGGGAAATATGTAATTCATTGTGATGTTTTGATGTTTGTAGTCTTACACAGAGTTCCACGCAGACTTGTTTCCTGACACCAATGGCGGACAGGCAGCCATGACAGCTGAAGAGTGGTGTGCTGGAGAGAATAAACTGGTACAAAACTCTTTATTATTTTATATTTATAGATATAAAACAGATCCTTTCAGCAAGTTTTTATAGAAGTGCAATGATACTACTATTTAAGGATGTAGATAACAGGGGTAGCTATCTTCTAAACCGGCCAAGATATACCAACATGTTACATATCAATAGAAAGCTTATTTCAACAGCTCTTCATTTCATATACTTATTTTATTATGTAATCATTACGTAATGAGATATAATGCTTAATAGGTGTGCTCAACATGATCTTTACACCTTAAAAACTAGAAGTCCACTACAAATGGACGTGTAGACAGCTTGACTCGTGAGCCCTCATAGGGATCAACAAGAATGCGCCTCAAATTAGCGATATGTGTTAAATTAGCAGAGATATCAAAATAAACTTGGTTTCCAGTTCAACGAGACCCCCTAGCCTAACTAAAGCATGCCTAAGTTGAAAACGGAGCTGATGTTATGAAATCCCAGACACATACTTTCAGACAAACCTTAAATCTAACGAATGAATACCAGCTTTCATCGGTTGAGAGTTCTAATTAATTTTGACACTGGTCTAAATCGTTCTCTTGAAGCCATAAACTGAAGCGGAGAAATCAGCCTTTTAGTGCTCCCCGGAGATTCCAACGTTATATAATCAGCGAGCTGCATTGGCAAGCTGAGAAATTTAGTTATTTATACTGGTTCAGCCCTCTACTCACTGCCTATGTAACTGTCACTATGTCTTTCATCCATTTTCAACATTATTATTGAACATTTTCAACCGGAGGCCCCCTCCATGCATTGACAGCAGCCACCATGTTAGTCGTGACGTCAGCCTTCTTCACCACGTGACACCTAGGGGGAGTGCCTTTGCCCATATACGTCTCATCTATATGTCTGCTTTTTAAAGCTTTAATAGATCGTCAGAATTAAGTTCACTGATAAATTCAAAATGAAAAGTATTGTTTGGCAAGTGAAAGCGCGACGTTACTCACAGAATGTGAAAGGCTTAGCAGCAATCTAGTACGGGAAATATACAGCTGCACAGTGGAGCTGCCAATCAAACACATATATGGACAAGTGTGACCTACTTTAAAACTCAGACACACTACCACAGGGGTAAATCAGCAATAAGGCAAAAATTACGGGTTTATTTGTAAACTTCCATTATTTTAAGATAGGCTGATATGTAGTTGATATTTCATCTATCTAATACTGACAAATTCAGAAAAACACCCAAATTTTGACAATTTACTGTTAATTACTACCTTAAAGATGTTAAAACTTTTGTTGACATTTCTGATTTTGTTAATTTCATTATGTATATTATGTATTTCACAAACATTACGTATATCACAAACAAATGTCATTCTATAAGTACATATTGGCTGTGAAGCTGTGAAATTTTTTGCCATTCCAGGTTGAAAAGATAAGTCTTGATCCATCAAAGAGAAAAGATAAAGTTGCTAAGAAAGAGACAGTGCCACCACCAAAACCAGAACTTGTAGTAAAGGTAAATATGTGTAAAGCAAAACCAGTATATGTTACATAAAAATTTTTGGGTTTAAGTCACCAATGTCTGAGAACTTAACATCATTTATGAAACCAGAGCCCCCTACTCTCTTCATCCCCTTCACCCTCCCCAACCATGACAAAGAAAGGTAAAAGAAAATCAGCTTCTTTATCTCTGTTTTTTTATCATCCAAACATTATTATTATATATTTCTACAACATGGAAGGGTTATACACCTGTACATTGATATTTTGTGCATTTCTTTGTATTATGGAATAAGAACAGTGGACATTTATCTTGGATTATTAGCACGAAGACATCAGACAACACATTGTTGACCATAAATATGTAAGAGGCACTCAAAACCATATGATTACAGTATACTTATTAAACACCAACCTTATGGTCATCTCCTCTACTTGTCATGCACAGCCAGTGGAGCCAGTGGTTACTGAGGTCAAGCAGCCACCTGCAGAACCTGTACCAGAACCAAAACCAGACGAACCTAAGGTAGTAAAGTCAGAGATGAAGATAGAACTGAAGAGATCCTCGGTCAGCACGCCAGAGGCTAGCAAGCCAGCTGTCCAGCCAGAAAAACCTCCAGCAAAGCCCTCGGCTCCTGCGCAGCCAAGGAAAGCAAGTGTAAAGCCTTTCAAAGGTCTGTGTTCACATATGCATGCCTGTATGTATAGATTTGTCAGCAAATGTAATATTTTTATATATGTGTGTGCATTAGTATACAAAGTGCATGAGCAGCTAACAGAAATATGATACAGCTGCTGTTTTTTATTCACTCTTTGTTGCTCTGATAATACTATATTCATGTATTACCAATGAACGTGCTTCTTCTGCTGCAACATAGTGAAAAAATGGCATCAGAAAACAAAAGCTTTTGCTTAAGATTTCATTTATATATTTCCCTGATTAGGAGTCAGGTTGTCCAAGTTCCGCTATCTCAAAGGCACACCAGCTCACAAGTCGCAGCACATCGAAAACATCCGTAACAGTAGTACCACAGTCCCAGGGGAGAGTGATGCTTTCCATGCCAACAAGGAGGTGTGTGCTGTGCCTCTGAGGGGGGCTGGCGGACTGATTGCTATCTGCGAGGTATGACAATTACTCAGTGTTTCTATGTGTTTTTGATGCCATATGATCATTCTAAAGGAAATATAATATTTTGTTGATAAAAAGGAAATACAGCGTCATGGAGTTACCCTTAAATACATTGAAATCAAATCATTATAAATTATTAATTATCATGTTGGGCCTATTGTAAAGATGATGTCTGTTGTTTTTTCTTTGAGATTAAAAAAAAAGTTATACAGAATATCAGAAAATAATTACATTCATAATGTTTTTTCCATTTTCAATATTTTTTGCATTTATACATAACAAACTAGTGCTTTGTTTCTTATGTAGACTTTTCATTTGCTTTGTTTCTTATTTAGAATTTTTATTTATAGAAAATGTGAAACTGCAATGAAAAAAAAGATCATAGTTATTTAATTTTTATGATAGAAAAGGTCTGATACTCAATTTTAGTTGAAAGACAATACTGAGATCATGCATTGTTATATTTGCTGTATATTCTATTGCTTGTTTTTCTCATTCCACAGTTAAATAAGCCTGGTCGTCTGCCAGATGCAGGGCTTCCAGTATTACAACATGGCAACACAGTGATGGACTTTATGTTTGATCCTTTCAACAACAGAAAGCTGGCTGTTGGTAAGGAGAGAAAGTATTTATATTAACAACCAACTTTACCTTGCTAAGTATAAATGTAAAGTTAACTCGAATTTTGTTTGTGATTTAATCATGTGAAAAGATGAAAAGGAGGGAATTTTTTTAATTTCATTAAAATGTACAATTTCATAGATATTTATTTAACAGATTTTTTTTTCATTTTGTTGCAGTGTACCCAGTACATTTTCATGGAATTTTAGTGAACAGAGGTATTGAATTAAAAGATTTTTTTTTCATTGGGATGTAAATTTCATGGAATTTTATAAAACAAAAGTGTATTTTCATTATTTCTAGCCACTATTGATGCTAAAATCTGTATCTGGACCATCCCTGTGGAGGGCCTCACAGAGACCTTGACAGAACCCACCCAGTGCCTTTATGGTCAGTATAAGGCTCACCATGACAACCGTGATGAAATCATCCATAAATAAATGTTGTTTTGTCATGTAATGATCATTTCATCTGTCAGTTTACCACCTATCTATATAAGAATATATTTTACCCAGTTTCTCAGTGCTTTGCTTTTTAACTATTTTTAGTCAGAACTTTTCTGAAATGTAAAGAATTTGTCAGACTAAGATATCTATGCACATTTTAGGTCACAGAGAAAAGATATACTTCATCCGCTACCATCCCCTGGCAGAAAATGTCCTTGTTTCTGGTTCCTATGACATGACAATTAGATTATGGAACCTGGAGACCAACCAAGAGATGATGTGCATAGATGTGCCAGAACATGTAAACTTGAAAGAATTTATTTAGACAATAATTTATGTAACAATATGCAAGCAATGTACAATTTCTACACAGTTGAATAGATCAACTATTAAATATTGTTATAGTAATTATGAGAGTACTTGTTAACAGTAGACTTAAAGCAGACGTACAATTGCAGTATGTTGTTCTTTTGAATTAAAATAGATTAGGCAGCAAAACAAAGAAATGAAGGTAAATAAGTTATGTGCAAAAAAGGTTTTAATTCATAACTTTCATGAGGCTTAAAAACATTTTAAAATCTTTGTAAAAAGGCTGGGGTATTATTATTATTATTATTATTATTATTATTATTATTATTATTATACATTCAATTATTTTTCTGTTTTCTCTACAGATGTTTTGCCTTGCGTGGAGTGGGGATGGGAAGAAATTTGCCACAGTTAGTAGTGACAAGACAGTCAGAATTTATGAACCAAGAGTAACAACACTACCAATTCAGGTAGAAATGTAAATTTTTTTAAATATGAAACTGCTAATATATCAATAGCAACCATCAAAATGACACATAAAATGATTTCTCATTAATGCAAGGTATTTTCCATCTTCAAAAAAAAGTTTAGGCTTCCACGTGTTTACATTTAATTTCATGTCAACATATTTAAGGTATCTCCTTTGATAAGTTTATTTAATTTTTTTATTTTATATTTATATTTTTTTATATTTTTATAAAATGCCTACGTTTTTTTAAAATCTGTTGCTGAAATAAATTCATCTGTCCATCGAATGTCTATAAATAGATGGAATATGTTACCTCAGATAACCAGTTTATCTCCACACTTCAGGTGCATGTGCTTGTGCATGCGTGCGCGTGTGTGCATGCATGCGTGCGTGTGTGTACCCTTAGATATATATACTTAATGTTTATCTTGACACTTCAGGAGGGTCCTGGACCAGCAGGTCATAGGGGCGCCAGGGTGTGCTGGGCATGTCAGGACAAATACTTAGCAGTGTCAGGGTTTAACACGTGAGTCAGCTTTCTCTTTTCTATGGGGGGGATGGGTGGATGTTGGATATTGTTTTCATATTTATTGTTAATTAAAAATGAGTAATTATTCTTTTTCCATGTTTAGGTACAGTAATTGTCTTGATGACAAGTAATAAATGACTTTTAAGTAATTAGAAATGTCAAAAAAGATTATCAAATTTACCTGAAATGTTAAAAAATTGAATAATCTTAATTTTTTTTAAACGTCTTCTATATACGCTGTGTAATTTTTTATGTACTTTATTTTCTTCCATAATAAATAAATAAATAAACATGTATTTTATTTCAAATATTCATCAGGCAGAACACAAGGATAGTATCTTTGTATGACACCAGTGATCTTGCTGCAGGGCCTTTGAACATAGTAGATTATGAAACAACGCCATCGATCCTTGTGATGAATTATGATGAGGGGTCTTCCACAATCTTCCTAACTGGAAGGGTAGGAAAAATTGTACAGTTATTTTATAAAATAATCAGTTTGATAGGTCCACTAGCAGTTATAACTTCTGATCATATTCTTCACTTATCAGTAATTCCCTTTGAACCTGAAACACATTTCACCATTTTTTAAGTTGAAATAAATTAAGCACTGTGCTGAGAGACATTGGACTCTACTCCATTTCCTATTCACAACTAAGTTGAGTACCATTATTCCACTCGGAATTTTGGAGATGACACACACTTCTACCCCTTTTTACCCAACTCTCATACATGTATTTACACACAACAGAACTTAAAGAAAATTATTTTGCAGCTAACAGTTTCTAAAATAACACAATGTCATTTTATCCTAAATATTTACTTTCATTCATCATCTCTTAGGGTGACAGTGTTGTCCATGCACTAGAAGTGAGTGAGGATGAGCCTCACCTGTTCCAGCTCTCAGACTACAGGCCAGAGGGAAGGCATCAGGCCCTGGCTTTTTTGCCAAAATCTGAGATAAATGTGAGAGAGGTGGAGTTTGCCAAGGCTCTCAGGTTCACTGGGGCCACTGTGGAACCTGTATCATTTACTGTGCCTAGAGTGAAGGTAAGTTTTTTTTGTTTTGTTATTATTAATATTATTATTATTATTAGGTGTACATATTAAAATGATTTTTAGATTTAAAGAAATATCCTTACAAATGATCAGGCTTCATAGAGTGAAAGTAAGTTTCTGTTTTTTTTTTTTATTATTTTCTTTTTATTAGGTTTGCATATTAAAATGATTTTTAGATTTAAAGAAATATTGTTACAAATGATCAGATGTCAAAAAGGCCCTTCTAATTTTTAACAACCGGATATGAGTGTAAGATATTGGAAATGTGGGATAGGAAAACAGTTTCTAGAAGAATTAAGTTCAGTAATTAAAAGAAAATAAAGTAATTTTTCTTAAATCAGCAGTTCACATTGAAATTGTTTACATCTAATGTTTCAATGTCTATCTAGAGCATCTTCTAGACTTTGAAATATTATAGGTAAATAATTTCAGTATTATTGATACAAGAAAAGATTACTACTGTAACAGTAACTGTATTCTTATATCATGAAACAGCTGATGAAATTCTTCTTCATATTATTTAAATAATTTTAAAGGTTTATGAAATATAAAAAAAACATAAAAAATGAAAAATTAAAGTGCTATATGTTATCAAAAACTTAGAACTGATATACAATCAATCATAATTGACAATTTCAGCCCCAGTTTTTCCAGGATGATCTCTTTCCTGATACCAGAGTGACTTGGGAGCCATGTCTGACTGCTGAGGAGTGGTTTAGAGGAGAGGACAGGGTGCCCAGAACTATCAGTCTAAGACCTCCTGACATGGAACCATGTGAGTATTGACATCCATTTTAAGCAGTGCATAATGGTTGTTTGTTGTATTATTTATTGCCTTGTGTTCCATACAAGTAACAATAAAGTTTGTTATCATATTTAATCCAAGCAAGGAGGATATTTCTATTGTATTCTTGTATTGGTTGAAAAGACATTGTTATTGTTTTTGTTATTTGGATAAAAAATCTTATTAGGTCAGAAATGTGTAAATATTGAAAATTCAAGGCTAATTGAGATCTTTATTGTTTGAAAAAAGCGAGTGGGAAAATAATGTTTCAGTACATCCAAGGAAAGTAAGTTCAGACAGCTTTATGATTTGGTATCATTGATGACATAAAAAAAAACAACTTGAAATAGTGATAAGATAATTTTAACAAAAATATGTTAACATCTCTTTTCAGTGAGTAAATCAAAACCAGAGGCACCAAAACCGAAAAAATTTGAAAGCTACAATGCAACTACTTACAAGACAGATGAGCAAAAGAAGGAAGAGGTTTGTTTAGTTTAATTTTTAAAAGACTTTATTTTATGTGAAAAAATAAGGCAAGCATTAAAAATTATTATTTAATTAAATTTTTTATCAACTTTTTGAACAAACTGACAGCCGTTCAGCACATGATATTTTTATTTGAATTACAAGTTGAGAAATTCATTTTTCAATGGTGTTATAATTTCTGTCCATCCTAACAAATGCCATAATATCTTTCAGTTGCTCACTGCAATGGGCAGCAAGCTAGAAGATAAACAAGGGGTGCCTCTGCCTCAGGACCTTGCCGAGGGCGTAGAGGACGATGAGTGGGACGATTAAAGACACTCGCAATTCACACATTAACTGTTATGACAGTTACTTACCTATACCAGATAGTTTTAGGTGACATTTTGTCTGAAGATATTCTGATATTTGTTGTCTGCAGTTGAGTGCAGTTTGGTGATGTTGCCATTCCAATATTATGTTGAGGGATAATGGTGAACAGGTTGAAAACAATGATTATTGCATGAAACAAAAAGGATGGAGAATTCCACTATTTTGAAATGTGAAGTTTCAAAGGCAAGGTGCATTGTTATCAGGTTTTGTAAGTTCATTACTAAATGTCTGTATTATTCTGTGTTATTCTCCTTGTTACATTTTGACTGCTGAATGAATGTTTTGTGTACTCATTTACAATTTAAGCTCTCCACAACTACTGCACTTAATCAATTATTATTTGCCTTTGTTGCTGTCACTGAAGTTCAAGAATGCAAATGCAATTACTGATATTTTCATATCGACTTTTTACAAATGGTATCCTGGATAGATCTAATACAGTCAGAGTGACAAAATTCTTCTGATTACTTTCCATGTAAAACTTTGGTGCTATGAACTGATCACTACTATCAGTATATCCAACTGCATACAAAATAGTATTCACTTTTTTATATAAAAAAATCTGTATTATCAGAAAGTAGAAAGTGCAAAAGATGAACTAGACCAAGAAAGAAGATCTTATTTCTTAACACAGATGTAATCTAATTGGAATCCACATATATCAGCAAATGTTGATGTTTTCTATTTTTTCACTTGTATACTAAAACCGATCTCAGTTTTTGCAATGCCCAAACAGGGCGGGCAAAATAATGTAATATCCACTAATTCCATGTCTCATTCCCCAGACTTGTTCTTGATTCTCATTTCTGATAACCCTTTTGAATAACACAGCTTTACTTTGCTTTTAAAGATAGTGAATTGTACTGGTTTTATATGTAAATGTTACTACATGCACATGTATCATACATGATGTATGGAAAGAAAACCTGAAATAGGCTATGTTAAAATAAGCTACAGCCCTTTTACGTCCCTATGCCATTACTATCTCACAGTTATTACATTATTCCACCACAGTATAAATTTTCCTGACAAAAGTGTGATGTATTATTATAAGTATGAGGAGCTTTCTGTAAGTATTATGCTTTTTTAATCAAATACATGCCTTTATGATCAATGAAAGAGACAAATTTTCTGAACCAGGGAGTAATGGTATAGAAGCAGGAGGGTACTGCTGCAAGGGCATATTGATGCAAATGAATTAGAATGAGATATTTCTGACTATTGGCAGATTTCTGACTTTTTGGGAGCCAAATATATCATTGGCCTAGGCACCACCTGGACCCCATGCCATATTTTCTGACTTTTTCACTAAACAGCAGTCTCATCCCTAGGTATACAGTATATCACCATTTGTGCTAGGGTGAGTCACGATGTGGGGGTATAAAAAGACAAGTTTCTATTTTTTCTTATACAACATGCAGTTTTAAATGCCTGCCATGTGTGAACAAAAGTGTAAATAGACTAAGATGCAATAATATTAATCTGATATTAATAAAGTCCTCACTTAAAAGAGAATTCAAAACTGAATTTTATAATTGTACCGTCTTGGGAACCACTTAGTTAAGCAGAGATTCACTTATTGTAGTAGTCACAAAGACTTTTGTTAGATCCGATTATGTGACCAATTAGTAAATATGTTCTACAGTTTACCTAAGTTTTTGTTTTATGTGTCAATATGTATATATATATACACACATATAACGGACAACAAAAGAAATGCAAGTATACGTAATGGTTAAATTAGCTTGTCAAAGTAAAAACTTCTTGTAGATCAGCAAGATGTAGCTAGCAAGCATTTAGAAATATGAATTTGTGTTCATGTAAAGGGGTTTGTAGGAAAGCCATTTAACAATTTAGTACCCAACATGTGCTGCAATAAGTGCTGACAATACCAGTCTTGCCTTTTTAATTTTCTCTAAGCCACAGCATGGTTAAAGCTGTAAAGAAATCACATTTTGAGTTATTTTTTAAACCTTAATCGGAGAACAAATGTGACAATCCTATTTCATATCACTTGGCTAGTGTATTTGTGACATTTCTAGCAAGTTGGAAATATGGTGTCAACGTGTTTCAGTCCATCAAACGTTGACATTCTTATCTCATATAATTGCTTTTCTCTTGATGTTCAGTATTTACTCAGCATTTACAGTGGATTGTTATGCTTATGATTTTATTATGCTTTAAACAAGGGACAAGCTTGCCTTTGATTATATAAGTATTATCCCCCCCCCAACTCCCCTCGTTATCTTTACTCATCCCATGATATAAGCCTGAAATCAACATGAAAACATATGAATAAATGTTATTTATTCAATTTCCACAATTGTTTTTTTTTTTTTTCATTTTTGTGCCTATTAGGAATGACTGCACCAACTGACAGATGTTCAAAAGCAAAAATAAAGATATTCAATCCAATTGAAGATCAAAAGTTCTCTTTTCACAATTTTAAGTAACTACTGACAGCGAGTTTTATTATCAAAATGTCGAGAAACTATCAATGACTTTGTGATAGAAAATGTGACCACAAGTGCACTTCCTGACCTGAACTTGCTTTGCTAATGCCAAAATCTATTACATAAACTGTTTCATATAGAATGATTTTTATTGCACTAAAACATAAATGATGCAGGTATATATCAATTGTCTTTTTATAATTTAAAAAAGGTTTCCTTACAATGACTGATACTGACTTAATATTATAAGTTTTCTTACAGTGAAAAATGTACATATACAGGTACAAATTGTTTGATATCATTTAAACAGTTGGTTTATAGCAGATTAATAGGTTTATTAGTTTTACATTATATGCATTGAAAAAATTCCTATAAATAAAAGACAATGGCATGATTTGATCCAAAACAAGTACACTCAAACGTTACAGGTTTCACTCACAGCTTATATAAGGAAACTTAACGTATTAGTGCACCACCCTTTAACTAGCCAGCAGAATGAGACAAAACTATAGCGACCAAGAACAACTGACCTGAATATGTTGCACAAAGCATAAAAAGTTTTTTTACATACTTTTTCTGTTGTGAATTTAGATTAACAGACAATTCCCAAAATAAAAGTGGCATTTTAAATAACCTTAGTTTCCACGTTTAGTTTTAAATAAAGGAATCCAAGATTAAAGAAACAACTTTTCAGATAACAAATATCACAATACACATGCTACATAAAAAATACTGAAATTGTTGACGGGGAAGCAATTAAGTTTATCGTCTACTTCTTGAGAAATTTGCCCTTTCAAATTTTACTTTAACTACGTGGTACAGAAGATATGGTCCAATATTTCCAAAAGAATGACCCTTGGAAAAAATTATCTGTGAGAGCCATGGAAAAGTTTCAATACGTGTGTCTCATGCCTTCATGCATTTTAGCTATTGATATGAGATGTTATGGTTTCCAGTATGAACTTCTCCATCTCAGAGTATATCCTATATGTCCTATGAAGTCAATAGTTTTATGTTAGCTGCTACATCCTACTCTGTCCCTGGGTATTAGCCTCAACTCAGATCCATGTTTTAGAAACACATTACCTGAAAAAATAAGTAACATATAACCTATTATTAGTTTCTTTTATAGATTTTACATGCTTTATCAATACAGCCAAATATAACAATTAACAGATTTTTTAAAAAAATGTCTCAATAATTACAACTCCTCACTATAATGATGTGTAATATCTATACAGATTCAAATGGTGGGGTGGGGTGGGGGTGGGGGGGTCAAACACCCCACCCCCTCCATCAACTCTTAAATATTTAATTTTGTATGCAAATATGTCAAACCAAGTGTGGCAAATACACCACAACCACCCACCCACCCCTATCAGGAAGTTCTGAAATCCGACAAGTTCTTTTAATCAACTGCAAGGAGATTTTGTGTCAATGTGTTTGGTGAGGTATCTATGGACATATCTCAGTGCTGTTCAATAGACATTTCTGTATTACCTGCACTCTGTGCTGGGTTAATTCCTATACCATCATTTGTTATTATAGCACTTGTGTCAGGTGGCACCTTAAACTGAAAGAAAAACAAATTTTATAACTTGACTTGAAATACAGGAATTTAAGTATATTGAATCTCAGTTATTCAGATTTTACACACTGTAATTTAAAACATTAAGATGGTCCAACTGAAGTATAAGTCAAGTTTGTCAGAGCACTGGTCCGGATGCTTTAAAAATTTTCAACTATTTTCACAACATCAGGTTATATCACTTGAACTTTCTAGGGTGTTCCCAAGAGAGTTTCCTTGATACCAAGATCCTGCTGTATACTCTACAACCTTTTCATAACACAATTATGGCAAATAAACTTAAAAGGACATTAAACTGACACACCTCACTGTCTACATATTGCCACACTGCTAGCCATACGTTAATTACCATAATTGCAAGAGAAAGTGTACATTATTACAACATAAGCTTTGTATGAAAATACTTCAGACATCAAAAGGAACACTTCATTGCAACTTAAGCTGGGATCTAAGGCTTCCACACTATAGGTCCCATCAAAACTGAATTAAAAATCTTGGAATTCCATGATTCAGTAGAAAAAGCTCATGACAGTCTGATACTTGGCAATGATGACAAAAATGTGCACAGAACATGCAGCAAGCAGCATAACTTAATCTCCACAATGGTGTCAACCAGGCCTAAGAATTACAGCCGAATTACAGCCAATTGTGAAGGTGGGTTCCCTAAGAATTACAGCCAGATGACTGCCAGTTTTACACAAATTGTTCACTACTAGTACACATTTCTGTTCTTAGGTTTACTCACCTCTTCAGCAGCAAATTTAAGTACAGCTGTGAAAGGAGTCTGTTCTGGTACACTGAGCCTGGAAATAATAGGTATTACTTAAAGCTGGTGAATTATTTAGTAACATTAATTTATGATGAGCCATATGGACTCGTTAATTTGAGACAGGATCAGTTGTGTTATCTCAGTACATTCCCATTTGATCACACGAAATTTTTATTTGGTTATAAGACGTACAAATATAAAAGTATATACTGTATGACTGTATTCATGATCACAACAATTTTAACGCCATGGCCAACTAAATGCAATATAACAGTGAAAAATGCCGAATGACATCGGCAACACAACTCACTAGGTGTCCGGAACCGCGCAAATTTAGATATAAACGTAATTTGGAATTAGGCTCGAAATACGGACACCGTTGGAAACTTTTAGATAGGATAACGCTTTAGTATAACCTTCCAGATTCGCGGTCGAAATATTTACGTCTAAACGCTACAGAGGAAATCCACACTGACAAGAATGACCAGTTTCAATCGTTTAATGTGAACTCGTTGCCTGCTCAGGTACATTCTGACTCTCTATTCAATATTACAACCTTTAGTACGTACTCCAGCCAATGGCTTCATACACTTCCTTATCACTGGCTTCTTAATGCGACAGGTAAACAAGCCCTACTCAGCCTCTTCAAAATTGACACAACGTATTATAGAGAATACAATAAAAGTTATGACTTGAAATTATTGACATCGTCCATGAATTATTAAATGTCTCCGACATATTCCACAAATTGCGACCGTATTTGTGGGGGGCAGATTTGACCATTTACACCGACCATAAACCCCTGAAAGCGCTATTTTCTTCTAAACTGCAAAATGCAAGGTTGCAAAGATGGGCGGCAATTTTAGCTGAATATAATCCTAAAATTGAATACATAAAAGGCGCGAAAAACGTGTCCGGAACCGCGCAAATTTAGATATAAACGTAATTTGGAATTAGGCTCGAAATACGGACACCGTTGGAAACTTTTAGATAGGATAACGCTTTAGTATAACCTTCCAGATTCGCGGTCGAAATATTTACGTCTAAACGCTACAGAGGAAATCCACACTGACAAGAATGACCAGTTTCAATCGTTTAATGTGAACTCGTTGCCTGCTCAGGTACATTCTGACTCTCTATTCAATATTACAACCTTTAGTACGTACTCCAGCCAATGGCTTCATACACTTCCTTATCACTGGCTTCTTAATGCGACAGGTAAACAAGCCCTACTCAGCCTCTTCAAAATTGACACAACGTATTATAGAGAATACAATAAAAGTTATGACTTGAAATTATTGACATCGTCCATGAATTATTAAATGTCTCCGACATAGGGACACATTTCTTACTTTGTACTTACACTTTATAAGGGAGTTTGGGATCCGACGTTAACGTTATCTTGAAAGTGACCTTCGACCTAAAACATAAATATATATTTAGTCACATTATCTAATTTTTGCCATTCAAATCAACAACATATTGCAAGGATATTTGGTTTTACTCACATCTTGCCGACTGCTAAAAACCGGAAGTGACACGCTGAGTTGAAAGTCTCGCATATTCACGTTTTCTATGTGAGGTCACCTGATATTCAAGCCTCCACCGCGAAATTCAAAACAAGGAAGTAAAGTGCTACGCCCACTTCGTACTTAAAACTGGAAATCGTCTGCTATGTGTTTTTAAAATACTGCGACATGATTTGATTGATTGTTAAACAGAATAATTCATCACTAAATACAAGAAGTTGTAAGTTGCAAGTAAGTACTATAGTCTTAAACTCTAACATGACAACACTTGTCCCGAGACATTTTATCAGCTGGCAATGTTTACAGTACAGCATGATCTTGGTACCCAATGTTAGGCTTACATTGGTAATGTCTCTTTCCTTATCTTTAAACTTTAAGTCACGTGGCTGACACTACTCGCCCACTGTACAAAATGGCGAGGACCTGGCGTTGCCTGCAGGCGTTGACTTTAGTTCTGTTATTTATAACGCCCTATTCAGTTATATCTCAAGGGTACGATGGAGATCTGCCCGTTGAGGAAGTTGAAATATATGATAGGGAAGAAGACCCCGAGGATCGAGGTGTAAATTCTGCAGACGAAGGTAAAAAATAAAATATTTTAAGTCGGCCAGTCTCTATCGGGGTAGCCTATGGACACCGGCCAAACGTCTTATTCAATAGTGTGTGAACTTGAACGTCTGTTCAGAGATAAGGTGTTGTCAGAGGTCTTTACCTCTGTAGGAGTGCAGGCTCACGTGCAGCTGTTTATGTCCAATATTGCATGAAAACCATACTTGTTTTTATGGTTGGATGTATAGAAATTGATAAACAAATAAAAACAAAGATGATAAATCAGTTTTTAGTGATAACGTGCACTTCTGTGATAGATACAAATAGATGTACAAGTTTTGAAAATGGCTCAATTTTTATTTGATGTGCCTATTTTACAGCTGAGGCTATAAAAAGTGATATTTATTTTTATTATTTATATATTTATTTAGATTATTCAAGATAAAGTCACATATTGATAGAATAGATTTATATACTAATGGAGATTTGATGTTATTATTTGTCAGATGAAAATAACATTTTAGTGTTTTTAAACTTTTTATATTCAGACATAACCATATTCTTGATGATATCTTGATATAATTTCTGTATTTCTCTAGCGTTCCCCACAAATTGCAATCCTCCCGTACCTCCAGAGAATGGTTACATAGAAGGCACAGAGACTAAACTAGGTTCACAGGTCACATTGAAATGTAACCCAGGGTTTTACCTAGTCGGCACCTCTACTATGAGGTGTTTGGCAGTCCCAGGGCTGGCAAGGAAGCTGATCTGGGACCCACAGGACCAGTATTACTGTGAAGGTGGGTGGGGCTGTCTGGCTTCTAGTCCTAGGGCTCATTCCCCATGAATCTGTCGTTCTACATAAATCCAACTCCGTGGCAACTCTCAATGAATGCAGTGAGATTAACAGATTAATATGCCTCCTTTTGGCATTGGATAGAATACAGAAAAGCTAGTGATTAAATGAGTATATTGGTAATGAGCCTTCAGAAAATGAAAAGTAAATAAGATCAACAAAGACTTTTGTTATCTTAACATTCCTTGCTAAAAATTAAAGTTTATCTAAATTAAAGTTTATCTAAATTAAAAGAGCTGCTACTGGAATTGTTTTTTAATGGTGTTCTTGTCCACTGGATCATTATTTGTGCATTGAGATAATAGACTGCTTTAAAAAATATTCATCCAATACTCTTTTTCTGGAAAATCTGAGAAAGGATTCTATCTCCTTTTTGTGGAGTTCATTCTTTAAATTTGTTAAAGTAAGAGTTTACAAAGATGATGGATTTTCTGTGACATGATAAAAAATGGGGAAAGTCAGGGGAGGGGAAGACACTTAACCTCAATTAAGATGGCCATGAACTGGGCAATTTGCTTCCAGTGGTGAGGTAGTTACAATCAAACATCATTTTTAGGTAAATTGTATCAACCCAAGTTAACTGTAAACGTGCCTGAATTAAGTCAAGGTGTGGGTTTCATGATCCTGTTGTTTAAGTTAGTTATCCCTTCTGTTCATTTCCCACTATCTGCATATGGTAATTTTTCACAAATTTTGAAAATTCCACTCATTCCAGTATTTCATTATTTTAAGATTCTATTTCACAAATGAAAATAATGTCTGATGTGATCACAAACAGATCTTCAAAACTTCTAATTACCGTTGTCAAGATTTCAGAGAAAACTTCTCCTACATTTTCCTACGCAAATAGCAAATAGATATCTTAAATCATCTTTGACTGGGATGAAAAAAATTATCAATCTTGTACAACGTGAGAAGAATCTAATACTTTTAAGCTGTTCTGATCTTTAAGAAATGTGACATGTATTTTTAATGTCACATTATGTTGGAGTTATACTTTGGTTATAATATAATAACATTTTCATTTTACACCTATCTTCTGGTTATAATTTTTTTAATTCTGTATAATTAAGATTTAGATGCTTAAATTACAATTTTGAATGACATATACAAGTATAGAAAGCTTTAGTATTTATCTTGTAAACTCTTAACAGAAAGAGAAGTAGTGCAAGCACCACAAATCCAAGAATTGTTTGATGATGAAGAAGGAGATCCAGAAGAAAACGAACTAGTACACAAAGATTCATTGAATGGTGTTGAAATTGAGCAAGAAGAGGAAGAAAAAGAGGAAGAAGTGGAGGAAGCCAGTAATCGCCCAGATGACAGTGAATTCTTTGAAGAACCAGTTATGCTCCAAGGATCAGAATCAAGAAAAGGTTGGAAGCACTGAAGCATATTTATTTGGAAAACAAACAGGCCTGCAGCCAGCAATTTCAAAAGGGGAGTTCTTTTTCTGAAAAAGTGGACCTTTTTCCATATAAATGTCATGTACATAGATCAAATTTTACCCAGAGTGGACCTTTTCCCAGCAAAAGGGGTGGTTCTTTTGAACCCCCCCCCGAACCCCCCCCCTGGGTACGGGCCTGACAAATCTTACTTAACATTGAATCGCAGGTGTATGTAGTATTGTACAAAAATGTGTTATGGATGATTGAATTGCAAATGTAAAATTTAATGTAAAATGTAAGATGTAAAATGTAAGATATCAGGTGTATATTTTACATACTGGAAAGTATTTTTGAAAAATGTCATTGGATATATGGAATTGGAATCTGTTTTTCATAATGAAAGATTTTGGTGAATAAACAAATACATAAATAATCAAAGAAAAACAATATTTCTGTTTGCACTGTTTTGCTGTATTTCAGAAAATCCATCAAAAATGACAGAGTTGCCAGAACTCTGCAGCTATCCTAAGGTGGAGGGTCCATGCAAGGCATCCTTTCCCAGATATTACTATAATATGGAGACGGGAGACTGCCAGTTGTTTACCTATGGGGGTTGCCGAGGTAACAAAAATAGATTCAAAACAGTGGAAGACTGTGAAGAGACTTGTGTTCAGTGAAACTGTAAATTTGACTGAAATTTGATTTTAATGTGACTGTTGAAAATTTGCGTCGTCTAATAAAGAAGTGGTGCCAAAAGTATGAGCAGTACGTGGTCAAACCACATGTGAAAAGAATAAGTCATTTGTATCTCACTTAACAGGTCAACAGGTGCTCCTCTTGTGCCAAATTGAAATGGTGTATTTATTGTAAAAAAAATTCATGTTACCATGGAAATTGTGCAATTGATTATTTAAGTGCTGTTGATTAATAAACCTTGGACACATTGTCATCAGGGAATTTCTGGTCTGAGTGATAATTATAATTAGAAAAAACATCATTCTTAATATTTTTGTTGATTTAATATCGAAAAGATTAGGAATTTTGATGAAAGTAAAAATTCCTTATTGTAGAATTTGTCATTTGAAAGGCACTGCAGGGTATTTGAAATGATATTCAATAGGATAGCTATGGTCTCCAGTGCAAGAAGAACAAGTCTCATTCTGCAAGTCATACTTTCGATTGCTAGTTATCCTGGTTCAATGGTGATTTTTAGGCCAAAGATGAAACCTCTTTAGATCTTTGGTGAACTTCGTACATATATATTTGGCACTTAAGTTCAGATTTTTAAACTTTTTCAATTTTCAAGGGATGGGTGAAATGAAATGAGGAGAGAAAAAAGATAAAATACCTCGTTGTTGATGATTAACTTGCATTGTGTGTTTATTAATGCTTAAGAGGTAGCAGCAATCTGACCTGTGTGTTGTATACAAGTCCATATGGTGGGTAAATATTGAATGTAAATAAATACCCTGGTAGAAAATCGGAAAATCATGTTGGTGACATTAGATTTGTGGAGCTGGATAGGGTAGCCGTTTTTCATAATCATTTTAATCTCTGTGAAGGACGTTTAAGGTTATCTTTGCACATGCTGTCTTATATAAGGTTGATATAACATCATTGATACTGTTTTATGTATAATTTATATTCATTAATTCATTCTAATTATCTATACGTTTCACATCTCATAATAAAACAACTGGTATTAATTTTTCATAAAATGGCTGCTGCGTTATCGTTCGTTGGTTGTTTGTAACAGTTGGATTAAAGCATGAGCGTAGGAATCGAAGAGGCTGACCAACCCCCCTCCTCCTCCATGCTTTTCAACCTCACGCACGAAGCAAGGCAGGAAAGGGATCCAGTCAAACGTACAGGGACGTATATTTGAATAAATAATTAAAATATTACTTCTCTGGACAAAGTCCCTGCGATATTCATCTTGAATTCAAGCGACATTCAAGTTGAAATGCACTTCGCTCCGTCGCAAAATTTGAGTGGAACGGACCCTCTCTAAGTAAAAATTTGCTTCCAGGATTCTCCTGCTACAGTGTACTGTGTGTTACAGTTCTTGGATATTGTGTTTCCCGAAAGGAACGTAAAATATACCCTTAGTTCTCCATAGTGAGAAAATAATAGATATTTTGATATCTTTTGATTATTGTCACAACTTAATTGGCATTTACACACGATCAGTCCTGCAAGACAGCTATTGAGCGTGTTAAACTGACTTCATCTGTATATACGCCCCTTCATCGTTACTACCCCGCAGGGCATCGTTACTCCCCCATACCTTAGACATAATAACGAATTTTGTCCATGCCCATACTGACCGCAGTGTAGAATCCCTTCCCCCGTTAAAATTGCGACACATAAAATGTAATTTAAGGTCCTTACTGTGAACACAACAATTTAATCTAAATACGCCAGCCAGGGACTCGAAATTGACAAACGTCAGATGAGAAGCAACGGTGCGGAAGGTATCGACGCAAAGGCAAATCGATACGGGCATGGACCTAATTAGGTCCATGATACGGGTAATATCCTAATTTTGCTTGATGACGACACGGGACGTAAAGAGGTGAGCCCACATAGTATTTATGTAATCACATTCTTGATAAGTTTGATGACTGTGATGGTTCTCACAAAAATAACGTATTTCAGGTAACTTAAAAGCAGTTGATTTCATTCGGGTTTTGTTCGCAACAGTTGATTATAAGATATTTTTATTTTAGTTCTTATACTGACAAGTTTGAAAACGGCTATGAAAATATACGTGTATCTGTAGCAACTGTGCGATTGTGTGGAGGTGACTGGTAAGACAGACCTACAAATAGGCAATTACCATCTCAAACCGAAAGTGGTATAAAAGATAAAATACGCCGGTTTTGTGCTGCGCAGGTATACAATTAAGTTTCGGGGTGAACTGCATTTAGAACCTCTTACGAAATATTGCGATATGATTAAAATTCATAAGGTGCAAAATAAAAGCAGTCCAAAAAAGAGAAACTGTTAAATCCATAGCTTTGTCTTTATAAATGAAATCCAATGCGTCCATAACATTGTCATATAATGACCCCTAAAGAATGATATCTCTTACTGTGAACAAAAAAGGGAAATACTAGTACATTATTAATATATTTTGCATTGCAAACTTATACTCGGTCAACGTCTAATAAGATCCACTGCCAAACTTGTTCTCTGATGGCATCATCCTGGATATTAGCAAAAATTAAAGAAGATGAATTATTGTATAGAGACTGGTAATAGGTCACGTTTCCATCAAAGTTCACTGACATGTGCACGTGACCTATATTCGCTTTGTAAGCCAGAAGACCGAAAACATACACGTCATCAACCCAGTAGAACGGGGTCGTCCACGTTTCTGTTATCAGTTTCTCAGCCGTTGTCAGTGTCATCAGAACGGCTGAACCCCCGCAGAAATCTGGGTAATAAGTGTCTAAAAATTCATCACGATTCATGCACCATTTAGCTTTGGGTTTCCGGCTAACATCGGCATCATAGCCGCCGTACAGAAAGCACTGGAGTTTGTCAGTTAAAGCAGGTGCATACGTGTCAATGTGATATTTTAATCTGAATATATTAACTAGGACGTCGTCGTCTACTTTTAGAATATACCTAGCTGTGGAGCAGTTGGCTGCATATGTTAACCCAAGCACACCCTTGTACGTTAGGTTCATGTAATTGTCTATGAAGTCCCCCTGAAGTATATCACCGTGAACCTCGTGTTCTCTCTTGGTGTCCACATCGTAGTCATTATAGCTTGGTAATGTACCTAAAACGAAGACCACTTTAATGACAAGTTCAATAACGTTGATGTTAGCCCCCCAGGTTTTCCTGATGAAATCTCGTCGCTTTCGGTTTTCTATTGCGGAATTAATATAAATTAAAACGTCAATTCCTTGGTCGCTGTCCGCTCTTGTACAGTCCGTTGGAGTCATAATTGTCGTAATATTAGTTAAACCTTTCGTAAATTTCTCATTTTCTTTATCACTAAACTGAAAAATATCCCTCCACGAGTATTGCCCATAGATGCTCTTTCTATCTTCCCTATTTGACGTTGCAATGCAGCCAGGTTCGTATATAGCGCGATACCATGCTTTGCACACGTGTTGGACATACACTGTTCCCGCAATGGCTGCCATGACGGCAAGAAGAGGCCACAGACGCGGCCACCGTCTCATCTGAACAAAATTTCCCAACAGCGCTAGTTTGTACACGGAGAAGCGCATTTTGGAGATTGTGCTTTATCGAAGTAAAATTAAAAGTGTATCATAAATCTTCTATATGCTTTAATTATACGAGCTTGCATCCAGCATAGAAGCTTGTCATATATTATGATTCTGTTAGAAGTTGTATCAATAATTCAACGACAACACGTCAAACACGTGTGCTCATCTGGAATACCGGCTCTTTAAGACTATATAGTTATAATATAAGTCTGAGATCCGAGAATTACTGTCATTCATATATATATATTCAATAATACTCTGTGAAGACATTTGTCGCTGGCCCCTCTTCATTTCCGGGTGACTTTCGACATTAAATGTCGGAATCACTCAATTATAATATAACGGCAGTTACTCCATATATGTCCCGTCGTGGTTTTGTGATCCATTTTGTTTATACAGTGTCATTACAAAGTCGGATCCACGTAAGTTGTGTGGGATATTAATTCACCTTTACAGTGTATAAATCTACATAAATACCACGCTTCAACGATATTCTATTCCCTTGCATGTTTTCATGTCTTTAGGCCATGGTGAATATTTCAGTTGCTATTCGCCCGCATAGTTCGTTTTAAACGCTACAGAGTCCACATAAAATATGAAATGCCTGGTTGCGTTTCAGTTTACGAATGCATTGTTTTTAACCTATATATAAGGTAGCTGAATTAGAAATGCAGTGGCGGATTTAGAGGGGGTTAGGGAAAAAAATCCACCAATGGTCCCCTCTTGAAATTAGAATTTTGACTAGCTGAATCATAGTTTTAAACCGTACGAAATGGCACCGTTCGCCCTCTAAAATACCATTTTTTCAGGGCCCTTCAGCGGCCCTCGAACACCACGCCCTGGTTTCTCTGAGACTCCCTGTATCTGGGGATACACTCGAACTCTGGAAACTCACCCAGTTCATGCTTGTCAGGTGGTTAAGCTGTATTAAAATGTTATATGGTGTTTTAAACATACGTACAAATACTATTTGGAAATTTACAAATATTACATTTTTATGTCTAAATTACTCTACAAAGCTACTGATCATGATCTTTCCCGTGATGTTGATATGCCCTTCTGAAATGTCAGGTAGACATGGGCCCCGTAACTCGAAAGCGTCGCGCATTGCGACCGAGGTAGTCCCTCACCTGATAAGGAAAAAGACTTCTAGAAAAGCACTTTCGCTAAAAGATTCATAGTGCCAGACAATTTTCATATTGTGGCAATAGTTTTACTGATTATCTGCATTCACAGTGAAAATTGTCTGGTCCTATGAATCTTTTAGCGAAATGAAACGATAGACCACCGCAGGTGAGGGACTAAGCGCAAGCATCTCGATTCCATAACTCGCCCATCCTCGTCCCATATAATACTTTGTAGCCTCTATGTGACATCACTATTCGCAATGCGCGATACTTTCGAGGTATGGGGCCATGGTGTTCTAAGGGTGTGTTCAGAATAAATCTATCGAACTAGATACTGCGCGCTAACTCCACGGGGACTCTCGTAGAATGCAATCCGATTAACAACTTAATAAGCCTCTTCTGGCGTTGAGTAGAACAGAGAAAAGTTGTGATAAGACGAGTAGGCCTACGTTAGAAACAAGAGGAGACGTGTTGATCTGTTAATATGATTCCAGCGAGAGTCTCCGTGGAGTAAGTGCGCAGTAGCTAGATTCTGATTGAATCGACATTTAATTAGATATGGCATAGAATCTCGATTCCAAGTGTAGGGTGGGTCGAGTTACGACTTAAGTATTATTCAAAGCTCCTTTTTAGGAGGAAATTTTGATTTTTTTTGTGGTTTGATTTCATCAGTTTTTTAAAAATGCAAAACCTATTTTTAAAGCTTTGTTCTAATATCCTATATATGCTCCTGTAGTTTTTACAAAGAAAACGGCTTGTTACAATTAAAACTAAAGAGCTGAGAAGAGTGGGGGTAGCTAATTTGTTTTTCCATCATAAGCAGTGTTATCAGCGCCTTTTTCTGCAAATTTTAACAGAGCTGTGAATGAGATTTGTTGGAGTTATTTCATTCTTAAATTTGAATTCTCCATTTCTAAAAGAAAACTTTGTGCTACTCTCCTGTGAATAGATCTTTTCTCTAAATTAAGTTCTGTTGAAGGTGAAAGGGTAATGGCGTCTAATTGTTTTTCCAACTTTCGGTTAGCAATGTGAATGCATTTTCATGCGTATTTGAACATAACAACGATAGCAGATATTCCTAGCTAATTCATTTCTGCATTTTAGATGTCCATTTCGTAATTTCCAAAGAAAAAATTACATTACTCTTTTGTGAACAGATTTTTCTTCTGTGAAATGAAGTCCATATTTTACAAAAGCCAGTTCTCAGTTTTACTATCTATTATACTAGAAACATATTGTGACGTCACAGTAATATCCAAGATATGACGTACCGTCAGGAAACGTAAACATTCAGTTGAGGACTGAGATCGACAACGTCAAGACGTGTATTTTCGTATCTCCTCAATATTTTTCAAAATCGGTTAAATTGTATTTAAAATTTCCAAATGCCCGTACTGTGTGAGCCTTTTAACACAGCTTGGATAAGAACGCGAGAAAGATTCAGCCATGCAGCGCAATTTATAAGGCAGCGGCTAAGAAGAAGAAGAGTTAATCCAAACTCTCGAGCTCCCTCTCCTATGCCTGCCGCCCCACCTCCCAGCCCGACTCCAACAGGAAAGGTTAAGTAGTCTAAGTTTTCTTTTCGTTAAAATCTGCATAAATCTCCAAGTTTTACGGCGTGAAATATTTTTTCTTATTTTGCAGATATTTTTTTTTATTAATCTTATGTTAACTTTCAGGTCGATTGTAGCTCAGCCCCCCCCCCCCCCCCACACACACACACACACCTCACCAGCTCCACTCTTTAGCATTACTTACTAATTGCTCCCTTACCTTCAGCCCTAGTTACAAACTGTTCTAAATTATCACATCTGTGCAATAATGCATTTTGTGAAAACTATTCTATGGTTATCTTTTTTCTTGTTTTGTCATTGTTTCGTTATAAGAAATGCATGTGCACATCTCAACACAATCAATAGAATACGAAACCATGGCTATTCTAAATGACAACGAATCAAAAGTTGTTTAAAGATGGCGGTAATGCAGAGGAGGTTGTTTGATCAATCGCACAGATTTGTTGTTTTCCCGCATTTTCTGTGTGACAAAAATAATAAGAGGGATGATGTAACATAGTTTGTGATTATAGCATCAAAGTGTTAATGTCTTGATTGCGTATTCCGCAGAAAAAAATTAGCTGGCAACTACCTGGGGAATGGAGTACAAAGCGCAAACTGAAGAAAGCTGATCTGGAAGCTACTGATAAACGGATGGGTCTCGCTGGCCAAGCATGGACCATTCAAAGCAAGGATGCCAGACCTGCCACCCCAGGCCCTAAGAGGTAAACATGCAGAGATTTAAACACTTGATTGATACCGCTCTTTTGGAACATAGTGCATTAGCAGGCCCATAGCCAGCAATTTTAAAAGGGGCGTTCTTTTTCTGAAAAAGTGGACCTTTTACAATGAAACCTTCATGTACCTAGATCGAATTTTACCCAAAATGGACCTTTTCTGGACAAAAAGGGTGGTTCTTTTGACCCCCCCCCCCCCTCGGCTACGGGCCTGGCATTAGTGTCTACAGGGGAAAGTTGTTCCCAACCCTCTCTCTCTCACCCCGATCCTTCTGTTGAAAACCTGGGTCAGCTTTAGTTCTACTATATCCTATTATATATGGTAATCTCAGTGAATTGGGACATATTCTCTCAAATTTATGTTAACATTTCTAGGCTGAGAAGGCCTGAGACTGCTGCTAAAAAACGAACCCAAGATGAGATTGAGAAAGAACATGAAGAAAGACTTAAAAAGAAACAAGAATCTTTGCACCAGATTGCTGAGGAAATTAGGGCAAAAAATAAGAAAGCATCTTTGGTATGTATTGATTTAATTATTATTATTTCTTGACACATCATCTTTGATGACCAGCTACAAAATTCATGGTTGGCAAAGCATAGGAACTTTTTGTAATATAACTTTATAATCCTGATTTAATGTTTCAGCTGTCTTTTAGTCGATGAGTAAATGGTATTGAATACATATTACCTAGGCCTCAAATTCTGCAAGTATAAATTATAAGTTTCCAAATTCAAGGCACAGCTGTCAAATTTGAATTACTTTCAGGCTTTCAAGGATCGAGCTGCCCAGCAACAAACAGACAAAATCAAGAGTGCTATGGTCACTGTTAATCAAAAGCAAGTACGCTTTGAAGAGCGCCAGCGTCAGCTCCTGGATGAAAAACGTCGCAAGCGTGCTAAAGAAGAAGAGAAAAGACAAAAGGTTAGTTTTCATTATTATGTAAATAAAGCACATGTTAAATGGGTTGTCCAGAACACTTACTTTTCCTTCAGGCTTCAATCTTTGTATAGGATGTTTTGATAATAGAAGACAGCCAATATCAGATGTGAAGCAAAAGGACAATAAAGGATAATGTCATCATTTTCAGTTCATTATATGTAGTGTACCTGTTTTGGTATGCATGCCTCTGTGTGTGTGCATGCAGGCACTGAATATGTGTGTGAATGTGAATATGAATTCTTTTCATTTATTCCCTTGAGAGCTGCTTAAATTTGAAATGGTTTGCTTTTTAAATGTTTGCTAATTTTTGTAGGTCTTTGATAGAAAAGCAAAGCTGGTTAGTCGACCAGCTGAAGATGCAGCACAAGTTGCTGAAAGCACATCAGAGGAACTCCTCGGGGCTATTGGAGGTCGATCACCAACCCCACCCCCAACCCCCAGGAGGGTGCTGCCAGCCAGACTCCCCAAATTGGAGCATGCTCCCTCATTGTCTCTAGAGCATGATGGCTCCAGTAAAAACAGCCTCAAGGAGAATCCTTGGGGTTCTGCCTCCTTGCCCAGTGTGGCTGCAACTGAGGTTCTTGGCACTGAAGTCTATAACATCCACAACTATGACCTTGAGGACTATACCGTTGAGAACTATGGCATTGAAGTCTATGGCAATCTGGAACAAACCATGGCTTCAGCTGGCAAAACATCTGTCAGCAAGAGGAAGAAGAAAAACAAGAGCAAAAAGGGTAAGAAATTTTTGCCAAGAAAGAAGACCTGCAGCAACCTCGATTGCCCACACCACTATCCAACGGCAAACAACACCAGTGTGACCAGTATGCCTGAAGTGGACACCACTGGCATCAGGCAAAAACC